AAACCAAGAGCCGCAAGCGTAGTCCTCAGTGTGTCGTGCCACTCACGCGGTGCCTGGCGGAGACAGTAGACTGGCCGTCGGAGGCTCCACTGGGTGCCAGGAGGAAAAGTCCCAGTGAGGCCAAGTGGGCGGCGCAGCCAGATCTCCTCGTGCAGGCTGCCCTGCAGGAAGGCAGTGCTGAAGTCAAGAGAGTGTAGCTCGTAGTCACGTTGAGCAGCTACGTGCAGTAGTACCCGAAGAGTGATCATCTTCGGGGTGGGAGAGAAGGTCTGAAAGTAGTCAACTCCCTGCCGCTGACTGAAGCCACGAGCCACGTACCGCGCCTTGAAGACAGGCGGGGAACCCGGCGGCCGCTTCACCCTGAAGATCCACATGCCACTGACGATGTTCGCCCCGGGAGGAGGAACGGCCTCAAAGTAGGTGCCTGTGGACTTCCAGGAAGCCATCTCTGCGTCCATAGCTGCCTGCCACTGAGAGGAGTAGGGACCCTCTATCGCCTCCGTGTAAGAGCGCGGGTCTTCCTCAGGGGTAAGTAGTACAAACACGAGATGAGGTGAAGCAGCCGCCAAGCACTGGAACTCCTCCTGCCTGTCCTCAAGGACGTCCGTGCCAAGGGCACACTCACCCCCGACGGACGGAGGACAGACAGACTCAGACTCAGCGACAAGACTAGCAGCGTAGTCGAGACTACAGCGAGCAAGCAGAGTCGATGAGCTCAGCAACTAGGGCAGATGCAAGCAGTGGACTCAAAAGAAGGGTCAGTGACGACATTAGCAAGGAGACGCGTGACAGTAGGACTGGCAGCACGAAGAGAGTCCGACTCCGGGTCGGGAAGAGCAGGAAGAGAGGACTCAGGAGGAGAAGGCAAAGGGGCACGCAGAGGAGCAGTGGACGGACGCAGAGAAATCCGGGTACTTGCCAGGGACAGGAGGAGGACGCTGACACAAACCGCAACCACTAGTGCGAGCAGTACGGACAAGCGACGCAGGGCGAGACGCAGGCTCACGACGCTCAGCAAGACCTCGAGTAGGACTAGTGTAGGGAGAAGGAGCAGGCAGTGGGGAGGCGGGCTGTACTGTAAACGTGACTGGACAGGATGTGGACACTCTAAGGGAGGAGGAGGACCGAGAGAAGGCGGGAGGGACCAAGAATCTGCTGAAGGAGCGGAACGAAGTACGGCCGCTGCCGTGCAGCGACTCCAGAACCAGCAGAGACACCAGCGCTAGGGTCCTCCGCACCAGCAGCAGCTCCAACGCCCGACTCCACAGCACCAGCAGCAGTACCAGCTCCAGGGTCCTCAGCACCAGCAGCAGCTCCAACGCCCGGGTCCTCAGTACCACCAGCAGCTCCAACGCCCGGGTCCTCAGCACCAGCAGCAGCACCAGCGCCCGGGTCCGCAGCACCAGCCGTAGCTCCAACGCCCGGGTCCGCAGCACCAGAAATAGCTCCAACCTCTGGGGCTGCAGCACCAGCGGAACCAGTAGAGTCTCCAGCACCAATAGCACCACCAGCAGCAGCGGGGTCCGCGACACCAGGCGCCCCACTCCGAAGAGTGCAGCGCCGCTCGTACCACTCACGGATCCGCTCACGAGAGGGGAGCTCCCGGCTAGGAGGAGAAGCACTAGCACCAGTCCCAGTAGTACGTCTTGCTCCAGAGGTACCTCTCCTGAGGCTGCAGTACAGGAAGTACCACTCACGCAGCTGCTCCGAGAAGAGGGCTCCGCCAGGTGTAGGACCCTCAGGCTCAGGACCTCCAGACTCAGAACCCCCAGACTCCGGACCCTACGCCTCAGCACCCCCACGCTCAGTACTCCCAGGCTCAGCACCCCCAGGCTCCGCACCCCAAGGCTCAGCACCCCAAGGCTCCGCACCCCCAGGCTCCGCACCCCCAAGCTCCGCACCCCCAGGCTCAGCACCCCCAGGCTCCGCACCCCAAGGCTCAGCATCCCCAGGCTCCGCACCGACAGCAGGACGAGAGTCGACAGCTACCTCAACAGGCTCAACCGGGTCTACCTGAGACACACCTGAGGGAGCGGCACCCTGAGGGGGGAGGGGGTCTACAACAGCAGCACCTGGCGCGAGGAAGAGAGGCGGGGGGGGGGGAGCGGGGCAGTGCGGTAGGGGAAGAGGCGGTATTAGGGGACGGACTCGTCAAAAGTGACGTCCTGAGAGGGCAAGACTCGGCGCAAGGTGGCGTGGTAAAACTGCCAACCAGGCGCGTCCGGGACAAAGCCGAGGAAGACGCAGGGAACAGCACGGGAGGAGAGCTTTTCCGCAGACGTATCGCGGACAAAAGCTCGAGATCCCCAGACCCGGAAACGCGACGCATCGCCAACCTCCCCCATCCACAGCAGTGTGGGCGAGGTCTCCGGCAAGGAGACACGGGGCCAGAGGTTGAGCTTATGCGCAGCGTACCAGACCGCAAACGGCTACAGAAAGTGGGGGGGCAGCCGCATGGATCAAGGAGGTACGGGCGACCTCCATGACCAGGCCAATGCGGCGCTCTGCAATCCGATTCCGCTGTGGAGAGGCCGGAAGCGTGAACGACTGCTCAATGCCATGCTCAGCACAGTAGGCTGCCAAGAGGTCGGAGGAGAACTCACCACCTCTGTCAGAGTGCAAGCGTAGGACAGGAAAGTCCGAGTGGAAACGCTCGCTGAGCTGGAGACGGGCTCTGCGGATCCAAGGGATCAAGACATCAGGGACCTCACCCTTGGTGCGCAAGGGGAAGACCGTTGTGTAGCGCAAGTAGTCGTCAACAACTATTAGGAAGTACCTCTCCTGACCCTGATCACAAACGCGGGCTGGGCCCCACACGTCCATGTGGAGCGTCTGCAAGGGAGCAGTCGTCGGGGGAAACGAGGAGGAGTGAGGAGCGGCGCGCTGCCGCCCCTCGACGCAGGGAAGACAGGGAGGAGCAGGCGAGGGTGGGAGGGGAGGGAGGACTCTGGGAAGACCGGAGACAAGGTACCGGGAGTGCATGGCACGAAGGCGCTGCACAGACGGGTGGCCAAGTCAGTGGTGCCAGAGGACAGTCTCGTGCGCCAGAGAGCGACACGAGCAGGGGGCAGACAGCTGACCTGACGCGCACGCAGACGCAGCGACCTGAGGGGACTCAGTGGTCAGTGTGTATAGGTCCGACCCCGGCTGCTGAGTGAAGGTAGCCAAGTGGCGGCCCGTACGAGCACACGTGCAGTGTGTCACGCGCTTGTAGGCAGGGGTGAACTGGTGAACACCCCCGTCCTGGAGTGCACATCCTGCCACCAAGTTCGTAGAGAACGAGGGGAGGTGGAGACCTGACAGTGTGCCCGACGGGACCGCAGGACAGGGAAGGACAGTGGAGGAGGTCGCAATGACCGAACCCCCAGAGGGGTCAGCGAGGGAGACAGCAACTGGCCGAGCAAGCGGCTCAAGGGCACTGCGGTCACGAAAGAAGCAGCGAGAAGCACCTGAGTCCAGTGTGAAGGTGTGCAGTGCTGCCATCGACTCAGTACCAGGGGGGGCAGACGCACAAGCACCTAGAGCAGCTGCCTCACCAGCACCTAGGGTAGCAGACACGCGAGTACCTGGAGCGGCAGACGCACTAGTCCTAATGCCCGGGTCGGGCGGCACACACAGGTACTCAACACCCTCTCCACTAGTAGACATCACATACATAGCAGTGAGAATAGCATCAAAGTCTAGAGCATAGATATCAATCCCCTTCTTCAGGAGATCAACCTAGCGGGGCAGCTCAGTGGCCTGAGGGAACTGAACACACCAAGCGTCGTTGAGACGAGCGAAGCAGCGCTGTGTGGCGTGCGGTCCCCCACACGGGTGACCAGTGCGGTCACCAGTGCGAATGACGTACGTGCAGCTAAAGCCACCCCCCCCCCCCCCCCCGTGCTGAGAGTACCACTCACGGACCTCCTGGGGCGACGGAGTGTGCTGCTGGCCCTGGCCACCGCCAGCGCCTCCACGACCACCACCGCCGCCGCCACCTCCTCGACCACCCCAACCCCTGCCGCCGCCGCGTCCACCGCCACCCCCACCACCGCCTCCGCCCCTGCCACCTCCCCCGCCGCTGCCACCACCACCCCCACCGCTGCCACTAGCCCCTCCAGTCGCGCCACCACCCCCACCGCCGCCACCGCCCCCACCACCGCCTCCCCGCTGTCACCGCCACCGCCCTGCCCCCTTTGCCCTTGCCGCTGCGGCGCCTGCTCGAAGCAAACGCAGTCTCGACCTTCTCAGCACCAAGGAGGTCGACAGCAACAGCAGAGGCGACAGAGGGAAGAAGGGGGGAAGGAGAACACCCCTCAAAGAACGGGGTACGGGGGTCGCCACGAGAGGCACCTACAGCGAGTATGCTAGCCTCAGCTGCAAGGAGTTCCTTCTCGAGGAGGGCAATGGTGAGCTCAGTGGGGCAGCGAGCTAGGAAGTGGTCCCTGACTGAGCGCAGAGTGTCAGGGAGGCGGGTGACTAGGTGGTAGAGAGTGAGCCAGAGTGGGGGTGGGTTCTTGGCAAGGAACTCATCAGGCATGGCGGCGCGGAAGCGAGCCTCACTAGTGCGGAGGTGCGTAATGAGGTCAGCGACTGTGTGGAAAGAGGCTAAGTCGGGGAACAGGTAGGGAAGAGAGAGACGGCCTAGTGCGGCAGAGGCCGGTGAGGAGTAGCGGGCAACGACAGCAGTGTACAGTGCCTGTGCAGTCTTGTGCTGCCCAAAGTGCTCGCGCTCATCTATCGGCAGGGAGTTGCGAATAGCGAAGCGAGCGTGGGCGTCACGAGTCTGCCACTGTGAGCGGGCAGTGCTGTCAGCAGTAGCAGCAGGAGCAGGAGCATGGCCTAGGGCGTGATTGTACAGTGAGATGTCCTCCTTGGCAGTGAGCTGTAGGAAGAGGTGTAGGTCGTCTAGCCAGGTTTTGAACTTCACTGGGCGGCCCTCAGCATCGAAAGCCAGCACAGGAGGGCTAGCCATAGCAGTAGTAGGAGTAATAGCAGTAGGGGCACCCCAAAAACAGTAGGCAGTGCGACTCAGGTAGGGCGGCTCGGTCCAGTACGGGCGGCGCGGCTCGGTTCAGGTAGGGCGGTGCGGCTCGGGAAGGGCGGCACGGCTAGGTTCGGGCGGCGCGGCTCGGTTTGGGCTGGGCGGCTCGGTTCGGGCGGCTCGGTTTGGGCGGCTCGGTTCGGGCGGCTCGGTTCGAGCGGCTCGGTTCGGGCTGGGCGGCTCAGTTCGGGCAGCTCGAGTCGGGCGGCTCGTTCTGGGTGGGGTCGTTCAAGGCCTCTAGGGGCGAGCGCGAGGCCATAAGGGGCCGCTAAGGGCGAGCGCGAGGCCGATCGGGGCCTCTAGGGGCGAGCGCGGGGCCGTAAGGGGCCGCTAAGGGCGAGCGCGGGGCCGTTCGGGGCCTCTAGAGGCGAGCGCGGGGCCGTAAGGGGCCGCTAAGGGCGAGCGCGGGGCCGACGGGGGCCTCTAGGGAGGTGAGCGCGGGGCCGACGGGGCCGTTAGGGGCGATCGCGGGGCCGACAGGGTCGCTAAGGGGCGAGCGCGGGGCCGTAAGGGGCGAGCGCGTGGGCCGACGGGGCCTTAAGGGGCGGCGCGCAAGTCGCTAAGGGGTGGGTCGCGGGTCGCGGGGCCTAAGGGGGCCGTGAAAAACGAGGCGCCCTAGGGCGCAGTTAGGTAGGTAGGTAGGTAGGTAGTGGTGGGCCCTAAAAAAACGGTCCTAGCGAAGGACCTGCACTATACCATGTTGAAATGAACGTACAGGAATGATTGAACTAACAGTGAAATCAGTACAAGTACCTAACCCTAGAATTGTGTACCCCCTATAGGCTAACCCACTGTAGCCTAAACAAGCACAACATGTATATTGTTTGACACGCACGTGACGACAACAAGCGTTACAACACCTGGTACCTAGACAGCTGCTGCGGCCAGCATATGGCAGGCTCCGAGCGTTACATATCCAACACCCGCCTGCGCGCAAGCGCGCAAGGCATCATCGTACTCAAGGCACGCACATCACGCTCAACGATGTGCTGATCGTCCAGAACCGACGCTTCAACTTGCTTTCCGCCGCACAGCTCATGGACTGCGGCGTTGATCTCAGCACGGACCGCACAACACGCGACATCCTGCTGCACTACGAATCAAGGACTTCTCCCCGCAGGCAGACTCCGAAAACGGAGTGTACGTCATGGACTTTAACATCCCCGACTGCAGCGGTGATTCGCACGAGTTAATCGACCTCGTACCACTGCGCTTCGAGCATATCCACCACAGGGATTGGAAGCACCCTGGCGGCAGACCGTGGGTACCGCATCATCCTCACCCACGCAAAACGGCGCTGCATGACCCTGACCCAGACGGCATCTACAAGGATTGTCACACGCCGACGGTGTCGACTAGTGCCATCGCCGGCCGCGGACTTGCTGCGATCGCCGAAGCCGGGCGGCATGCGCCGCTAGAGGAAGGAATGTCACAGCTAGAGCTTGAAGTCACCACGCGGGGCATGTTCGGCACGCCAAAACACCCTCTCATCGGACCCCCCTCCCAACACCTGCAAGAAATGTTGCGCGGTACTGGCGTCGGATCCTTTGATGCGCATGGCGTGCTACAACCCTACACCCACGAGAAATTTTTGGAAATTTGCCCTCACCAACGCGACCCGTCGAAGAAAACTTACCGTGGAGCAAGAAGAAGAACTGGCGCGGCGCGAAGCTGAGGAGCTCCGCCAACAAAGCCTCGCCGAAGCACGCGGGACATTCGCTTGCGGCGCATGGGGAGCCGAAGCGGAAGAAAGCGCCTTCAATGAAGGGGGGTGGGGAAGCGCTGGTGGATGGGCAACGAGTGATACCGGCGGATGGGAAGCCAGCGGCGGAACCCGAGCCAACGCAAGCGGGGGATGGGGCGCCGCAACTGGCGGCGACAACAGCGGCTGGGGGACTTTCCACAAAGAACAAAAGGGGGGAGAGGGTGAAGCAGAGGAAACTGAGGCAACACGTGTAGTTGTTCCCCTTGGTCCTCCCCCGCGCCGCACTCCACTCGCATTACCTCCTCCTGACAACCCACCGTAGCGCGACCCCTGGGACACCATCGACTGGGGCAACGAAACGTCAACCCCGCATCGCACCGTCTACGGACCTGCTCCCGAGTCGCGCGAACCAATCTTCTTCCCTAGAACTATCCCTAGGACTGACATTCCCCTCTCTGAGATTCGCGACAGAGAGATTCTGGCGTTAATGCTGAATACCGCCAACGACGAAGATGAAGCAGCAGAAGAAGCACCTGTGTAAGAATGAGGAATGAATGCACTAGGAAACAGGTGGGTACAAGTAGGAAAAACCTAAAAGTGTTGTACCCCATATTGTCTACCCCACTACAGCCCACATAGACTACAGCATATAAGTTTGACACACCCCCATAGGCAAAGTGGGGGAGAACAAGAGGTCACAAGACCAGTCAAGCAAAGCAAAGCAAGCTCAGGGTGGATCACAACGTCACATTCCGAGCACAAGTTCAAGGCCATAAGGCCAGTTCACATGCAAGATCATATATAAAGGTAAACAAGCAAGTGCAGGTATAGATGGATCACAGTACAAGCAAGGTCAAGAAGTGAGCAAGTGAGGCCAAGTAGGCACAAGACCTAGCATCGTACAGCAGCGCTGATGATCACAAGGCGGAAGTGCCTTGGGAAAGATATCAGCAGTGTTGGCCTCAGAGGCCACGTAGGCAAGGCGCAGCTAACCACGCTGCTGCAGCTCACGAGCAACGAAGTAACGAAGAGCAATGTGCTTCGTTCTGTGCTCCAGTCTGTGCTCCCAACACAAGGCCAGCATGGCCTTGTTGTCTACGTACAGAACTGGAGCAGAAAAAGGCGGCTCTCCTAGGTCGGTCAGCAGGTAGGTGAGCCAGCATAGCTCCTGAGCAGCCATGGCCCCCGCGTAGATCTCAGCCTCACAACTGGAGCCGAGAATAGAAGATGAGCAGGTAGACCGCCACAAATCAGAGCCGGAACCAAGGCTGAAGGTGTAACCCTGTGACGACCGCTGCGTAGCCTGGTCGTCAGCCCAAGAAGCGTCTGCGTGACTGGTGAGGGCCACTGAACGCCGCCCTCCAAGCACTAGCCCCATGCGCGACGTACTGCACAAGTAGCGCAACACCCTCTTCGCTGCAGCCATGTGCTCTGGTCGGTGTCTCCCAGGAGCAACATAGCGTGCCAAGATGCTACGAGGGTATGCAAGGTCAGGTCGAGTGCAGGTCATCAGGTACATGAGGCAGCCAACAAGCTCTGGGTACGGGCCACTCGGCTCTACGGACTCATCCGAAGGCAAAGCTGAGAGCGAGTGGCGAGTAGGCAGAGGAGTGGCCTGAGGCGAGGAGTACGTGAAGTCGAAGCGCTGAAGGACCTGCTGCACCATGTGTGACTGAGTCAGGGTAATGGTGCGGCGTGCTCTGTCCCGAGTAATCTGCAAGCCAAGGTAGCTGCGCAGTTCACCCAGGTCTATGCACGTGTGTCTCTTCTGCAGCTCGGACTTCACGTGGGCGAGTCCAGCAGTGTCAGCAGTGGCAAAGACCAAGTCGTCAACGTACACGAGGATGTAGAACGGCGGCAAAGAGGTGTCGGTGCGCAGAAAGAGCGACAGGTTGGCAGTAGAAGGAGCAAACCCAAGAGCCGCAAGTGTAGTCCTCAGTGTGTCGTGCCACTCACGGGGTGCCTGGCGGAGACCGTAAATGGCCGCCGGAGGCTCCACTGGGTACCAGGAGGAAACGACCCAGTGAAGCCAGGTGGGCGGCGCAGCCAGATCTCCTCGTGCAGGCTGCCCTGCAAGAAAGTTGTAATGAATTCAAGAGAGTGAAGCTTGTAGTCGCGCTGAGCGGCTATGTGCAGCAGCACCCGAAGAGTGGTCATCTTCAAGGTTGGAGAGAAGGTCTGAAAGTAGTCAACTCCCTGCCGCTGACTGAAGCCTCGAGCCACGTAACGCTCCTTGAAGACAGGCGGAGAACCCGGAGGCCGCTTCACCGTGAAAATCCACATGCCACTGACAATGTTCGCCCCAGGTGGGGGAACCTCGTCGACGTAGGTGCGTGTGGACTTCCAGGAAGCCATCTCTGCGTCAATGGCTGATTGCCACTGTGAGGAGTAGGGACCCTCGATCGCCTCAGCGTACGATCGAGGAGTCGGGATGTCTGGTGCATCCGGGTCTCCCTCAGGGGCAATCAGCATGGACACGAGATGAGGCAAAGCAACAGCAAAACACTGGAACTCCTCCTGCCTGTCCTCAAGGACGTCCGTGCTAAGAGCACACTCACCCCCGACGGACGGAGGACAGACAGACTCAGACTCAGCAACAAGACTAGCGGCGTAGTCTAGACGACAGCGAGCAGCAAAGTCGACAAGCTCAGCAACTAAGGCAGATGCAGCAGTGGACTCAAAGGAAGGGTCAGTGACAACTGTAGCCAGGAGACGTGTGATAGTAGGACTGGCAGCACGAAGAGAGTCAGACTCCGGGTCAGCAAGAACAGGAAGAGAGGACTGTGGAGGAGACAGCAACGGGACACGCAGAGGAGCAGTGGAAGGACGCAGTGCCATCTGGTGTGTGCCTGGGACCACAGAAAAACGCGGACGCGGAACACGACTACTAGTGCGAGCAGCACAAACACACGACGCAGGACGAGACGCAGGCTTACGACGCTCAGCAAGACCTCCAGTAGGACCAGTGTAGGGAGAAGGAGCAGGCAGGGGAGAGGCGGGCTGTAACTGTGACTGCGACTGGACAGGTTGTGGACACTCTAAGGGAGGAGCAGGACCAGTAGAAGGCGGGAGACCAAGGACCTGCTCAAGGAGCGGAACGAAGTACGGCCGCGGCCGCTCAGCGCCTCCTGAAACAGGAGGGACAGCACCAGTACCCCCAGCGGGAGCACTAGCGCTAGCAGTACCTCTACCTCTAGCAGCGCTCAGAAGTACCAGCGCTAGCAGCACCTCCAACACCAACACCCCCACCAGCTCCAGTACCTCTAGCAGCACCAGCAGCTCCTCCAGCAGGACCAAGTACAGCAACCCCAGCAGCACCCCCAGTCCCAGCAGCTCCAGTACCGCCAGTACGAGCACCGCCAGGACCAGTGGCTCCAGTACCTCCAGCACCGACCCCACGGTCAGCAGCAACAATAGCACCTCCAGCTCCAGCAGCACGGCTCCAGCGCTGGGCAAACCACTCGCGCAGCTCCTGTGGAGAGGGTAGCTCCTGCCGAGACGAAGCACCCAAAGGACCCCAAGACCCAGCACCGTAAGAGGCCACACGAGCAGACCCAGCACCCCCAGGCTTCGCACCCCCAGGCTCCGCACCCCCAGGCTCAGCACCCCCAGGCTCAGCATCCCAAGGCTCAGCACCCCCAGGCTCAGCACCCCCAGGCTCAGCACCCCCAGGCTCAGCACCCCCAAACTCAACACCCCCACGCTAAGCACCCCTAGCAGCACCAGAGTCAACAGCTACCTCGACAGGCTCGACTACGTCTACCTGGGACACATCTGACGGGGCAGGACCCTGAGGGGGGAGAGGTTCTACCGGGGGGGTGACCTAGCACAAGGAAGAGCCGCGGCGGGGGGAGGGGCGCAATGCGGTAGGGGAAGAGACGGTAGTAAGAAACCGACTCGTCAAAGGTGACGTCCTGGGAGGACAGAACACGGCACGAGGTGGGGTGGTAAAACTGCCAACCAGGCGCGTCAGGGGGGAAGCCAAGGAAGACGCAGGGAACAGTACGGGGGGACAGCTTGTCCGCAGACAAGTCGCGGACAAACGCCCGAGATCCCCAGACACGAAACGCAGACGCATCGCCAACCTTCCCCGTCCATCGCAAGGTGGGGGAGGTCTCTGGCAAGGAGACCCGGGGCTGAAGGTTGATCTGATGCGCCGCGTACTAAACCGCAAAGGGCCACAGAAAATGGGGAGCACCCGCATGGATCATGGACGTACGAGCGACGTCCATGACCATGCCAATGCGGCGCTCAGCAATCCCATTTTGCTGTGGAGAGGCCGGAAGCGTGAACATCTGGCGGATTCCCTGTGCACGACAGAAGGCTCACAGAAGGTCAGAGGAAAACTCACCTCCTTTGTCGGAGTGCAGACGCAGGACAGGAAAGTCCAAGCCGAAACTCTCTCTGAGCTGGAGACGAGCTGCGCGGATTCAGTCGATCAACACCTCAGTGACCTCGCCGTTGCTGCGCAAGGGGAAGACTGTGGTGTAATGCGAGTAGTCGTCAACCATCAGCAGGAAGTAACGTTCGTGACCCTGTCCACGTACGCGGGTTGAGCCCCACACGTCCATGTGAAGCGTCTGCAGCAGAGCCTCTGTCGGAGGAAACTCGGAGGAGTGAGGAGCGGCACGCTGCCGCCCCTCGATGCAGGGAACGCAGGTGGGGGCAGGCCCCGGAGGAAGAGAAGGGAGGGACCGGGGGAGACCCGAGACAAGGAAACGAGAGGCCATGCCTCGGAGACGAGGCAAGGAGGGGTGACCAAGGCGGTGGTGCCAGAGGAGAGTCTGGTGAGACAGGAAACGACACGAGCTGGGGGCAGACTCAGGACCAGACCTGGACGCTACTGCAAACAACTGACTCGACGCAGCTACCTGAGGAGACTCAGTAGTCAGTGTGTACTGGCTCGACCCCGACCGACGGGTAAAAGTGGCCAAGTGTCGGCCCATACGAGCACACGTGCAATAAGTCACTCGATGACGCGCTAGAGTGAAGTGGTCAACCCCTCCATCCTGCAGGTCAGCACCACTCACCAAGTTTGTAGAGAACGAGGGGAGGTAAAGACCAGACAGGGAGCCAGAAGGGGTCACCGGACACGGTAAGACAGTGGAGAAGTGGGCAAGGACAGAACCCCCAGAGGGGTCTGCCAGGGAGATTGCAACCAGCCGACTGAGCGGCGTGAGTGTGGTGCGGTCTCGAAAGAAGGAGCGGGAAGCACCCGAGTCAAGGGTGAAGGTGTGTAAAACCTGAGCCGACGTGGTACCTGAGAGAGCAGACTCACCAGCACCTGGGGCATCAGACTCACCAGCACCTGGAGGAGTAGACGCACTAGCACCTAGAGGAGCAGCCTCACCAGCACCTTGAGCAGCAGCCTCAATGCCCGGGTCAGGCAGAACACACAGGTAACAGTCACCCACATCACTAGTAGGCAATGCATACATGGAAGTGAGGATAGCATCATAGTCAAGAGCATAGATATCTACCCTCTTCCTAAGCAGCCCCACCCAGTCGGGGAGCTCAGCGGCGTCGCCAAACTCCGTACGCCAGGCGTCGCTCAGACGGGAAAAGCAGCGGGACTCTGCGTGACCAAATGTCCCGCAAGGCTGACCACTCCGAGCACCAGTGCGAATGATGTACGGACAGCGAGCAGTACTCCGTGACCCTCCTCGCTGAGCGTACCACTCACGAAGCTGCTGGGGCGAAAGGACCGCGCGCGGACTACGCTGCACCTGCACCTGGCCACTACAAGCAGCCCCCGAACTACTCACGCCAGAACGACTCTCACTATGGCCACCCCGACAACCCCAAGTAGCGTACCACTCACGAAGCTGCTGGGGCGTGAGGGACTCACGCGGACGTCGCTGGAGCTGCATCCGGCCACCGCCTGGGGCAGCAAGAGCAGTGGTAGCCGTAGTGGCAGCAGTAGCAGTGCGGCCACCCCTACAACCCCAACTAGCGTACCACTCACGAAGTAGATGGGGGGCGAGGGACTCACGCGGATGGCGCTGGAGCTGCATCTGGCCACGCCAGGAGCAGTAGTAGCAGTAGAAAGAGCAGTAGTAGCAAGAGCAGCAGTAACAGCAGTAACAGCAGAGCTCACCAGTGGCAAGAAGGGCAGGAGTACGACAGCGGCAATGGTAAGGCCGCTACCACCGCAAGGCGAGGGCTCCGCGGCTGCTGCAGGGACTGCTACTCGAGAGGCCAGGGGCGGCTGCTGCAGGGGCGGCTATTCCAGGTGCCAGGGGCAGTAGCAGCAGCGGCGGCTGCTCCAGGGGCCAGGGTGCCGCGGCGGGCAGGGGCGGCGGCGGCTGACACGGCAGCGGCGGCGGCGGCTGCTGGTGTCGGCGGCGGCGGCGGCGGCTGCTGCTGTCGGCGGCGGCGGGTGCTGCTGTCAGTGGTGGCGGCGGCTGCTGCGGCCGGGGCAGGGGTAGTGGCGGCGGACACGGCAGTGGCGGCGGCGGCTACTGTCGGCGGCGGCGGCGGCTACTGTCGGCGGCGGCGGCTGCTGTCGGCTGCGGCGGCGGCGGCAGGTGCTGTCGGCAGCGGCGGCGGTGGCTGCGGCGGCCGGGGCAGGGGCGGCGGCGGCTGAGAAGGGGCCGCGGGGCCGCGAGGGGCCGTGAGGGGCCGCGAGGGGCCGTGAGGGGCCGCGAGGGGCCGCAAGGGAGCCGCGACGGGGACGCGAGGGGCCGTGGGAGGGGCCGCGAGGGGCCGCGAGGGGCCGCGAAGGGGCCGCAAGGGGCCGTGAGAGGGGTCGCGAGGGGCCGCGAGAGGCCGTGAGAGGGGTTGCAAGGGGCCGCGAGGGGCCGCAAGGGAGCCGCGACGGGGCTGCGAGGGGCCGTGGGAAGGGCCGCGAAGGGCCGCGAGGGAGCCGCGAAGGGGCCGCGAGGGGCCGTGAGAGGGGGGCCGCGAGGGAGCGGCTAAGGGGCCGCGAGGGGCCGTAAGAGGGCGCGACGGGCCGCTAAGGGCAGGGGACGCGACGAGAGGGCAGGCACACGGGGCATGACTCGGGCAGGGGCGAAGTGCGCTCCGAGCAGGAAAAAAAATTTCGATTTTCGGTGGGCCCTAGGAAACGTTCCCGCTAGGGAACCTGCTCTATACCATGTGTAAGAATGAGGAATGAATGCACTAGGAAATAGGTGGGTACAAGTAGGAAAACCTAAAAGTGTTGTATCCCATATTGTCTACCCCACTACAGCCTACACAGACTATAGCATATAAGGGTGACAGCACCAGCTGCACCTGCCCCTGTACTTGATGAGGATCCCGAAGAAGCTCGCACACGCTTCATGCGCACTTCCGGCTTTCGCGCTGACGATGCGCTCTGGCATCAGCGTCTTGGACATCCTTCGCGTGCGACACTGAAGAACTGCATCGACGCAGGAGTCTTTGCTCCTGGGGCGCTGCTACGCCCAGACGGCACCGAAGTGAGAGGCACGACACATCCGCGCAACTGCACCGTCTGCCCCGAAGCTGCGCTAAGCCACCAGCCGTTCCCGCTGCTCGAGCCAAGGACAAACCGCTACCCCAAGCTGTACAAGGTGTACAGCGATTTCCTGAACGTGGGGCACTGCGGAGTCGATGACGAAATGTACACGCTTACCTTTATCGTCTCCGGAACGCGCTATGTGTGGATTGTTCACATTGATACACGCGACAGAGCCTATGAGGTGTTTCGCCTCTAGCTTGGGCACGCGCAGCGGCAATCCGGGGAGAAGTTGAAAATCTGGCAATCTGACGGCGCAAAGGAGTTCAGCAGCAATCAGATGCACTGTCACCTCGCGCAAAAGGGGATCGAGCGCCATTTTTCTCTCCCCTACGCACACCAGCAGCAGGGCGTAGTGTGAAAACTGAAACAAGAAGGAGTGGACTATGAATGAAGTGGGTACAAGTACTAACCCTAATTGGGTTGTACCCCTTATGGGATACCCCACTACAGCCTACACAAAAGCATAAGCTATAATGTTCTGACACGTAGCTGAGCGGACGAATTGCACGCTGATGACGAAGGTGCGAGCATTGATGAAGTGGTCAAAACTGCCGCCGATCTATTGGACTTACGCGGTGCACCACGCCGTACGAGTGCACAACCTATTGTCAACTACCGCCATCACCGGCAACCTGTCCCCGCATGTGAAGTGGACCGGGACCAAGGGGGACACGTCCATGCTCCGCGTGTGGGGGTGCATGGTCCAATACCGCCCGCCAACGTCAACCATCGGCAAATTCGCCAGCCGCGCACGTTGGGGCATTCACCTCGGCATTAGCCACGAGCACAAGGCGTGGATCGTGCTGGACCTGCTTAGTCAGAAGACCACCCACGCTCGCGACGTAATTTTCTATGAACGCCTCTTCCTCGATCAATTCCGCCATGACGAGCAGACGAATGCAAACCGTGTCTGTGCAAACGATGGGCATAGCTACGCAACGCCCGAGGACGAAGCTGCGGCAGCAATCCTGGAGCAGGATACCAGGGGCGAGTTCACACGGGGAGATCGCAGCAGCGACGACAACGACGACTCCTCCAGAGGAGGAATGGGTGGAACAGGCGGAAGCGGCAGTGGCACAGCACCACCTGCACCACCTGAACCAGAGAGCGATGATGACGATGTGCTGGAAGTCATCCCGCAACGTCGCCACGACAACACCGTTTCAGGATTGCAGCTGCTCGGGCTTCACACCGCAACCTCGAAGATGCCACGTGTCATCGAGCCGCGAAACCCGCGCCAAGCTCTCACTGGACCACACAGCAAAGAATGGCGTGAGGCGATGAACGCCGAAATCAAGGCGCTCGAATCCCGAGACACCTGGGTGCTAGTCAACCGTGCGGCAATCAAAGGAGCAAGAGTTCTTTCGGGGAAATGGGTCTTCCGAGTGAAGACCGGAGCTGACGGGGCGATCGATCGCTTCAAAGCGCGCTGGGTAGTACGCGGCTACGACCAGAGGCACGGGATTGACTTCGATCAAACGTTTGCGCCGGTGAGCCGTCACACTTCCGTCATCATACTCCTCGCCATTGCAGCCGCACGACATCTACCGCTCCGACAGATCGATGTCAAGAATGCATTCCTGTACGCGCTCGTAGATGCAGTGATCTACGTGGAGCAGCCACACACATACGACGAAGGGGATTCACGGGTCTGCCAGCTGCGGAAATCTCTGTACGGGATAAAACAGGCACCAAGACTTTAGCAGCACTATCTGCACAACATCCTGCTTGAAATCGGGTTCAAGCAAATGCCACACGATCCAGGAATGTACCGCCGCGACTTCCGCGGCGAATACATTCTCGTCACGGTCTACATCGACGACCTGCTTTACACGGGATCAAGCAACGAGTTACTCGAGCAGTTCGAGAAAAGCCTGGCGGGGCGCGTTGACATCACGTGCAACTACGAGGTGAAGCAGTTCTTAGGCCTCAACGTCTCCTACGCACCTGAGGCCATTCACCTCTCAGCTGCTAAGTACGCAGAGGAGTTAGGGAAACGGTTCAACATTTCACCTGCACCACTCTCCACTCCCTACCGAACTCCGGTACCGAACCACAAACCTAACAACAAAGCCCTATCCCCTGCCGGAGTTCAGACTTACCAGCAGCAGCTGGGATGCCTGCTCTTTGCCTCTGTCATATGCAGGCCTGACCTTTCCTACATCGCAAGTCAGTTGGCCCAGTACTCACGCAAACCAACGGCTGAGAATCTTTTGGACCTGCAGCGCGCCCTACAGTTCTTCGTTTCAACGCCCAAGATTGGGCTGTGCTACTCAACTGCACCAACCCCATCCTTCAATCTCATCGGCTACGTGGACGCCGATAACGCAGCAGATCCCGACAATCGACGGTCGAGGACTGGCTTCCTGTTCCGACTCGAACCAATGGGACCAATCTCCTGGAATTCGCAGAAGCAGGAGCTGGTTGCCCTGTCGTCAGCCGAAGCGGAATTCATGGCAGCAACCGCAGTAGTTCGCGAAGGCCTCTACTTGCAGGAACTCCTGCAGGTGGCGAAAATTCTAGCTTCGTACACTTTTCGTCTCCACTGCAACAACCAGAGCGCGATTCGCATTGCGAACAAACCTGGTTTCGTCAACAGCACAAAGCACATTGCGCTGCGGTATTTCTTCGTGAAGGACGAAGTGGACAAAGGCAAGGTTAACTTGACCTACTGCCCGACTAGTGACATGGCAGCAGATTTTCTCACGAAGCGACTACCACGCCAGCAGTATCAGCATTGCTCCGAACTCAGTGGGATGGTCAAGCAGGTCAAGTCGAGCTGCGGCCAGGAGTGAAGGGGGGTGTTACGAAAAGCAATGAATGAAGGTTACAGTGCACTCCCGACCGCAGCTAAAGGAACATGCGATATCGAGAACGAATGTGAAGAGTCAGAATTGACTCGAAACGTCAGACGGTTGAGATGCAACTAGACCGTCGGAGCAGATGGCATCGGGTAGTTGCAGGCAGAAGGATTCTGGCGGGAACAGTTTCGTAACTGTATGCGCCGCACGGTTGGGAATGAATTTGAATATGGGAATGTACCCCTTAGAGTACATGGCTAGCTAGGTCGATTCGTATTCCGCTGTACTCTTATTTATATCGTTGTATTTGCATGTTTTAATCATCTCAAGCATCTTACATTCACTCTGCTATTGAGGTCAAGGGCCCAGCACTACTAGACTAGAAGTGTGTGAACCTTCAAGAGGTGATCCTGGTTACGATCTAGTTTTGATCGCAACAGTTCCAGAGCACTACTCTGATTTGATTCCTCAGTGAATATCGCGATAATCAAACATGCAAGCAGCGGCAGTTAGAGGATGAGAGGAGAAGCTCACACGTGTTCTGTATATCCATTATAGACCAGTACATCCTCAATTATGTTATGAACCTCTTCGTTTGGCCATAACCAATTATTCAAACATGTTTCAAGGTCTAGTGACATTCTCAACTATTTATCATGGGTATGCATGCCATTCACATCCTGACTGATACGTGTACACCCTGTTTCTCACTATACTGAACTGTGCCGAACTGGTAGAAGACCTTGTTATCTTCGATTTGTCTGATTGAACCATACGGAGACTTAATCTAACCACCGTTAACCGTGCTTTTTCCATCTTGACTTCACTATAACCGAGCTCACCATGGCGAGAAAGAGGGTGTAGCTCGTTTTGACGCGTACCCTTGTGTGACTAGTGCATCTTTGGATGGTTTCGATGGTGTCTGTCGTGCCTGACTGACTCCTCCCAGGTGGGAGGGAGGATGGTGGTGCTGTGTAATGCACGCAGGATACAGTTCCAACCCAAACGACGAACGGCTGAGGCCGGGTGCAAGAAGTGTGGATACAGAACCAGTCGTTGCTTTCACACCCAAGTGTGAATCTCCATGTACTGTACGGCCGTGCGGATTCCGTTTCCGTTGGTCCAATTTCACGTGACGACATCACTTTGGGAGAGCGCCATTCGCAACCAACCACAACCCTTCCTCGTGTTCTCGCCACCTCCGTGCACCATGGCACTGGTGACAGCCGTTTGGCGCGCAGCCCAGTTGGTACAGTGTTTCTTACGACACCTCCTCGTTTGACAAGCAGTCTACAATTCGAAACAACTCGCTCGAAGCAAATTTCAGGGTGTATAAACGCGGCCCGGAAACTGGGAGGGATGCAATGCAATGGTCGTCGTGTCGCCTCGCCACTGTGGCCCCAACCTGTTCAAGGTGAATGTAGCTAGCATAGCAGCGAGAATTTTGCCTAATCCCGCGAAAGCGCGGTTTGATTTATGTTTGCCACGTGGCGAGCCTATGATCGCTTGAGCCGCGATCTGTCTTATTGTTATCACAAAATTCAAGAGAAATTTAGTTAAGTTCTGTACTGCGCTGCCCACGGGCAAAAATTAAACCCATATAGGTAAGGCATGCGTTAGGGATGCACCAGCCCTAAACACCTAGAGGCAAGGTGTTTAGGGTTGATGCCTCTCTAGTGCATGCCAGGCCCGAATGGGTTTCATTTTTGCTTGCGGGCTGCGTAGAACAGAACTTAACTAAATTTCTCTTGAATTTTGTGATAACAATATAACAGATCGCGGTTCACGCGATCGAAGGCATGCCACGTGACGATAATAAAACGAACCGCAATTCCACGGGTTTGAGAAAAACTCTCCATAGCAGCCTGGCGCAAGCACACAATTATGCTTTTACGAAATGGCGAATACAGGTTACACAGTTGCCCAGCAGTCAAGCGGTCAGCCGTGCCATGTCGTGTTGTCACGAAGCCTGACGAGGCTAAACAACCAGAGATTGGATCCGGTCAGCTGGTTGAATTTAGAGAATCCAATTTTCCAGCACAACCTCTGGTCTGTCTGCTGCTCCTGCCTGCTCCACTCCATTCCACTCCACCACCCACCCGCCCCTTTCACCCCCACCGCCTCAACCCCAATTCCCCCCACCCCCCTTCGACCCTCTGGTTCAGTGACCTCGTTGTCCCACTGGCTTCCCACTGAAGTTGGCTCGATGCCTTGCCTACACCAGATTTTTCCCGCCAAAGCACAATGACTGGACGGGGACGGACCAGGCAAGAGGCCAACCGCAATCGCCGTCAACGGTTTCTGTCATCCCATCTACCTCAAGCCAGCTCAAACCTGTGAAACAGAACCCCCACTCTGCATTTCTGAACGCTTGTTCCATTATGACTCTACGCCATTGTCCGTACCTTTTGTGGTTCCCTAATAGGCTGCGTATTATTGTTTATTCGAAGTCCTCCACACACGCTTAGCTCCAGGAATGCATATGGCGGCCGTCGGCACAGCCCAAGCCATGGACATAGAGCCGCAGTTCCGCGCGCAGCAGTACCACGCGCCGCGCCAAGACCCGCCCAACGTCGTTAGCGTTGCTGACGCCACCATGGATGAAGTCGGCAGCCCGGACCGCATGCCCCGCCGCTCCCCCCTGCAGCCCTCACCAGACCACTACGCTCGCTCGTCTCCGACCGCTTGCGAGCCGCACGTTCCGTCCAACGCAGGCAGCTATGACCCCCGAAGCGGTTACCAAGTTACTCCTAGTAGGACCGCGTCGCCTCCCAGGCGGGACTCGAATTCCCTCTTTTCTCGCCGAAACCGCGGAGCGCTCAGTCCACTGACCACGTTTCAATCCCCTTCCACCTCCGCCCAAGCTTCGTCCGCTTCCGCCGCTCCGCTGAATCTAGAATCCGCCGCGCAAGGCGGCTTTGCCCCTGCCAATGGGGCGCGGAGCTCCCGTTCCCCCTCCCCCCGCTTTTTCCAGCCCGCTACAGGCACCGACTCCCCGACAATCTCCCCCGACCATCCCCGCACCGGACTGTACCTGGGACCCGCGCCACGGAATTCCCCGCGCGGAACGGCGGGCGGCGGAATGCCGTCCGCTCAACGTGCGGGTTCGCCAGCTGGTGTGGCGGGCGGCGCTGGGACTGGCGCGGGGCTTCAAGTGAACCCGTTCATCCTGGCGCACGGGGGCTGTCCGCGGTCCCCCATGCGCTCCCGCCAACAGCTTTCCGCGCATGGTGGCTCGCAGCGCGCAATTGCGCCATCTCCGCTTTCCGAGCTGCTTAGCGCGGGAGGTTCGAATCGAATGGATATCCAGCCTGGCTCGCTAGAAGCAGACTCGTTACAGATACAGATTCCGAAGGATCACAAGCCTCTGTCGCAGCAGCATTTTACAAATGACGGTCGATCGCAACACGGGCAGCAGAGGGAGGAACTCCTGCAAGAGAGCGACTCGTGCTTGGAGCAGCAGTTCCAGCAGCCGTCACAGCAGCAAGCGCGGCAGCTTTATTCCCAGCAGAGCGTGCCGTCCGCCGTGCCGTCCTCCGTGCCGCCCCATCGGTCTCCACGATCGTCGTCACTCGACAGCTACGACCACGTCATCGCGTCGCACGCGCCCGTCGCGTATCGCGCGCAGCTGCCCTCCCCCAAGCAACTCTCCGCGCCTCTCAACCCGCACGCGTCGCAAACTACTCCGCCGCGGAGCGGCGCGCCAGGCCACATTTCCCCCTCGCGCGGGGGCGCGGGGCCGCCGAGCGCCTGCGCGCCCATCGCCACCCCCCGGCCGGTCCGCCCGGCCCATCGGCGCACAGCCTCCGCTTCCGCCGCCTCCGCGCTCCTCCAGCACAACTTCTCCGCCGACATGCTCGAGGGCAGCTCCTCCCCGCGCCCCGCTTTCTTCTCCCGCCCGCCCCCCTCCCCGCGCCACACACCCGCGCAGCCTATTGCGCCATCCGCCGCAGCGGCGCTCGTGGCCGCCGCTTCCGCGGGAAGCGGACCCGCGACGCCTCGGGGAGCCTCTCCGCGAAGGAGCTCTTCCCCCGCGGGAGTGCGCGCGGTGAACAGTGCGAGCCGCGCCGCACAGGACTTGCACGCGCGGCTGCTAGCTGCCGCTCAGATGATTGCCGACGGGGACACGGCGGGTGCAGCTGCTACAGCAGAAGCGGCAGCGGCTGTAGCGGCTGCGATGCAGCAGCAGCAGCAGCAATGGCAGGCGCAACAGCAGCAGCAGGCGCACCAGGCGCAGCAGCAGCAGCAGCAGGGAGGGGGGAAGCGGCAGGGCCGGGCAATAGGGATTTCGGAACTGCAGATGGAGCGGGGGGGCGCGCAAGGAAGCTCCGCGCCAGACGGGAGTTTCCCGTTTAGGGGAAACTCCCCGCTGAGGCAAGCTGGCGGCGCAGCAGCGGTGGGGGTAGCGGGCCACGCGGAGAGGGCAGGGGGAGACGCGGCCGGAGCAGAAATGCGCACAGGCGGAGCAGGCGCGGGGGGAGTCTCCCCCACCTCTGAGCGCGCGGAGCAGTTGAAGCGGCGGGGGAGCGCGATGCTGGGGGAAGAGGAGATGCGCGCCCTCTCGCACATGTCCCTGGGGGGTCCCTCAGGGGGCGTTGCGCGTTCAGGTGGAATTTCAGGTAGGCGCGCAGGCGCAGGTGACTTTGCAGGTTTCTCGGGTGCTGGTAACGGGGGAGCTAGTATCGGGGATGCGGGGGCGTGCAATCGTCCTGTGAAGCAGCGGGTGTCCACAGGCCATCGATCCGCCTCCAGTGGCGTTGGCGGGGGTAGCGGCGGGGGGAGCGGCGGAGGCAGCGGCGGGGGGAGTGGTGATTATCCATCCGCGCTTTCCGCCGCCGCAGCTGCTGCACTAGCCGCAGCTGGGGCTCCAGTGGGGATTTCCCCAGGGGAAATTACCCAAATAGCCCAGAAATGGATGGAGCTGCAGGCGGGGGGGTGCCTGGGCGGGTACATGCACAGTTCGCCCTCGCCTTCCGCCGCTGCTGCCGCCGCCGCTGCTGCTGCGGCCGCACGCGCTTCTGCGTCTGTCGCTGCTGCTGATGTGGCGGCAGCAGCTCGCGCACAGAAAGCAGCAGCGGAAGCGGCGGCGGCGGCAGCAGCAGGAGGCGCAGGAGGCGCCTCGTTAGGCGGCGCCTCTCCCGTTTCCGCAACAGCAGCGCGAGCAGCAGCCAATAGGAGAGCCGCACGTCATCGCCGCACAGGCAGCGCGGATTTCGTATTGAACAACCCGGGGGAGGCGCTGAAGTCTGCAGGCCCCCTGCGCCAGACTCTCAAGCGCGCCAGCGCCAGCGGGAACGTGAGCGGGAGCGGGGGCGCGGGGGGGGGCGGGGGGGGGTACCAGCTGGATCGCGTCTCCGCGCCCTGCCTCGCGAAGCTGCTCAACCAGCCCGCCTCGGGGCCTTTTGGGGGAGGGGCGGGCGCGGTGGCTTGGGGCGCGGGGGCAGGGGGGAGGCGGGGAGGGGCGGGAGGCGGGGGCGCGGGCGGAGGCGGAGGGGGAGGGGGGGGAGGCGGGGGCATCGGGGGAGGCGTGGGGGTGGTGGGGAGGCACCGGCCGTCGTCGTCCATCTCAGGGTTTGCAGGTGACAGGCTGGTGACGGCTGCTGCTCTTGCTGAGGCATCCAAGCACCTTGCTCTCGCCTCCGCTGCTGCTGCTGCTGCCCCTCACACTGCTGCCGCTGCAACCAACGCTGCTGCTGCTTCCAAGGCGCTGCTTCAACAGCAGCAACAGCATCAGCAGCAGCAGCTGATGCAGCTATTGCAACAGCAGCAGCAGAAGCAACAACAGGGAGTTTCAGAGAGGATGGATTTGAATGAGTCCAGGGCACAGATTCGCATGGGGCAATCCGGGCAGACACAGCAGCAGGCTCGCCCGCAGCACCAGGTGGTTCCTCAGGTGTTTTCTCAGGTGGTGGCGCCACACCGCCAGCAGCAGGGGCGGCAGCTGAACGCTACACTGGGCGCTGGCATGCGCAAGCCAGCAAGTTTTTCGGGCAACGTGGAGGATGTTTTCGGGCAGTACGAGGGGTTGCCCCCACGAGACCATGTTCTTAGGAAAGAGTATGGGGAGATTAAAGGCCTATTTGTTCTGCATAGTAAGGAGCTGGGCAGCGGGCAGTTTGGAATCATTCGGCCGTGCATGGAGGTGGCGACCGGGCAGGTGTTTGCGTGCAAGACCATCAACAAGAAATGTATTCAGGTGAGATCCCACAGAGAATGGGAGAAAGCAACAGAGGAAGAGGCGAGTTTCGTTTGTAAGCAACAGAACAAACGGAGATGCACCCCTGCTTCATGTGAAACAAAACATAGTAAACAAGGAGGGAAACATGCACGGTGATGGTGCTGTGCTCTGCTGTTTGTGCGATGCTGTGCAATGCTCTGTCCCTGCTCCCCAACTCCTCTTCTTCATCACCCCCTTCCCAGTGGCCCCATCACCCCTCTGCCCGGTGATCCCCAGACAAAGAGGTGGTATGCCTCACGCTGCTGCTCCCCTCTTTCTTACGCCCTTCCCCTCTTCCCCTGCTCCCCTGCCTGCTCCCCTGCTTCCCTGCTCCCCTGCTCCCCTGCTCAACCCCTATCCCAATGCGCCCCTGTTCCTCTGCCCGGTGGTCCCCAGACGAAGGAGGATGCAGAGGACATTCGCAAGGAGGTGGCGTGCCTCCCACTGCTGCTCTCTTTCTCACCCTCGTTCCCTCCTTCCCCCTTCCCCTGCTCCCTGTTTGCTGCCCTGCTCCCCGGTCACACCCGCCAGACGAAGGAGGACGCGGAGGACATTCGCAAGGAGGTGGCGTGCCTCACACTGCTGCGCAACCACCCCACCATCGTGACTCTCAAAGACACCGTGGAGGACGAGGAGGTACGAGGGTAGGGTGGGAAGGTCATGCCACCTCACCATCGTAACGCCTAAAGACATGATAGGGTGCAGACATGTTACGCGGTTAAGAAGGCGAGGTGGGGCGACAGGGTGGTAAGGCAGGAAGTGCTGCTGCAACTGTAGCTTACAGACCACCCTATAACCGTACCACATTGAAGGCACTAAGTGCAGCTGCAACTGTCACGCTCAAACCGCCCCACTCCATAAACGCACCACATTCAAGGCACTGAGTGCAGCTGTAGCTGCAGGTGTAGGTGGTTCTTGCAGAACCACCCACCAGTTGGGAGGCAGTGCGAGACAACAGGATGGGGTTACAGGATGGGGTTACAGGATGGTTTGTTGATGTGTCAATGCAGCTGTGGCATCAGATTAATGATTGTGCAGGCATCCTACCATACTGATTCTTAAAGCCATGGTGTAATACGAGGAGGTTGGGGTGCAGTAGAGGTGGTTGGAGATATTAAGACTTAATGAAGTGAGATAATTGAGGATTAATTATGTGCAGCAGGTGGATGACGTGAGTCGATGTACACCCATGTCACACTATCTCAATGCAAACATCGCCCTCTCAACCTCTTTTTTATCCCAGCACCCCCTTCCCCCCACATCCCCATTCCCCTCGCACCCCTCTTTCCTCACATCCCTCTTTCTATGCACCCTTCCCCCTTCGCTCTGCTCGCCTTTCAGACCCCGTTCGTCGCACCCCCCTTTCTTCTCTCCCACCCTCCTCTCCCCTCCCCAGAACATTCACGCAGTGATGAGCTGTGTCAGAGTAGCAATCTCCTTCACGCTCTTTTGAGACGTCTCAAAATGAGCTGTGTCAGAGTAGCAATTTCCTTAACGCTCCTCTCCTCACACCCTCCCCCCCTACCCGCAACCCACCCCTTCTCGTCCCCTTCTTTCCCCTTTCTCCCCCCCATCAGAACATCCACATAGTGATGGAGCTGTGTCAGGGCGGCGATCTCTTCGACCGGGTGAGCAGCAGTGGGCGGCTGTCGGAGCAGAGTGCCGCCCGGCTGTGCAGAGCGCTGGTGGAGGCGCTGCTGCACTGCCACTGCCACGGCATCCTGCACCGCGACATCAAGCCCGAAAACATCCTGCTCTGCGACCGGTCGGAGGATTCAAGGATCAAGCTCGTTGACTTTGGGGTGGCCACCTTCTTTGACCCCGGTGAGTGCCTGTTTAGGCAACTGCTGCAGCTGCCATTGCTGCTGTTGCTGCCACTGCCCCTTCGCCGCTCCTGCTGCGAAGTGCATGGTTCCTGAATGCTTTTCTCATGGTTGTTTTCATTCCCCGTTCCATACAATCTGCACCGAGTGCCACAGGCAAGCGGCTGACAGAGGTGCTGGGCACGCCCAAGCACATGGCGCCAGAGGTGCTTTTCCTTAACCTTGTTGTTCCCCCGCTTTTCTGCGATCTGCTGCATTCTCCCGCAGGCAAGCGGCTGACGGAGATGCTGGGCACGCCCGAGTACATGGCGCCAGAGGTGCTGCTGCAGTCCTACGGCCCCGAGGCCGACATCTGGTCGGCGGGCGTCGTCTTATACATCCTGCTGTGCGGCGTGCCGCCCTTCTGGGCGTCGTCGCGCAAGTGCGTGGCGGAGGCGATTCTCAAGGGATCCGTGAGCTTTAAGTCTGCTAAGTGGGCGAATGCGAGCGAGGAGTGCAAGGACCTTGTAAGGAGGATGCTTACAAAGGATCCACGGGAGAGAATAACGGCACTGGAAATCCTGGGTGAGTGCGAGGGTGGGGCGGGAGAGTGGAAGGCGGAAATGACAGGCGCCGGGCGGCATGAGTCTCGGTAATTCTTTCCTCTCCCACGTCAGTGTGGGAGGGCAGATGCGGAAAGGGAGAAGGTATCTGGTGAGCAGGGGATGATACATGCAGTAAAGAAGTCGCCTTGTGCCGTCTCACTTTCACCCGTCGAGTCCTGGTTGAAGCTCGCGTGCCATTTCTGTGTTTGTTCTTCTTGTCCTGACGACCATTCTCCACCTCCTCCTATGCCTTGCGCCCTCACTCTACAGGTCATCCATGGATTCGCAGGTACCAATAACGTGATTATTTTCAGAGCACCGATTTAGCTAGTGGTGACACGCGCATACGGTACATTCTATTTGAGACAAGCTGAGCAAGCTAGATGATCACTTGTGATTAATTCAAGGGGAGCGGTTTAGGTAGTTTACACCATGCCTACACGCTGCGGCATTGTAGCTGGCCTTGTATTTAATCCCTCCTGATTGTGCTTGTGGTCAGTTGCTTGCATGTACTACATTGCGTTTGTGGGTTATAATGTGGTATATTCTCGGTTGCTTTGGTGGACGACTGAGCGCGCCGTTACATTTCCTAGCTGCAAATGAGCGATTCAGTAAAGAGGATTTCATCGAACTTTGACTCTTGCTCGACAAGCTCGAGGGGATGCACGAAACGAGCGCCAGCAGCAGCAGCAGCAACAAGGGACCAACGCAACGGAACCAGCAACCAGCAACAGCAGTAGCACGCCGCTCCACCAGACAATTTTGCGACGCTCTGGGAACGTCGTGCAACCTAACCCAGCCTAACCGAACTTGACCCAACCCAGACCAGCCCAACTCAGCCCAAAGCAACACTACACACAGAAAGAAGCAGCGGGAGCGGACGCCCTTTTCAGGGTACGGATGGATGGGGGGACAGGAGTGTGACTGATACGAACGAGGCAGGCAGAGACGCACCAGAAATGTTCGGAAACGCCGAAGCAGGTGAAACCGCTGCAGGTGTTTTTAAGGTAGGAACTTATAACCACCACGTGGGCCTGGAGCAGGTGTTTCCGTAATGGCTCGAACCCTAATTAAGTTTTTTCGTGTTAACGACTATGGCACGATGGTTTCAGGCATTGGTACATGAGCGCCTCCGATAAAGAGTTCCCGTTACAGGGACGAGCGGCGAGGGCAGCGGGGATGAGATGGGAGGAGAACGAGGCCTCGAGCAGGTTCAGTCAGTCGCGCGGGACACCCCACCTGTCGCCACGAAGCATCGCTCCGTGTTTCGCGGTATCTCGAGCGCACTACGGTCCAACCGAGCTCCGCAGGCCGCCACTGGCACCGCCGTTACAGCCTCTGACAGCAGCCGAAGTTCAAGTAGCGGGGGCCGCTCGTTAAAGTCGAATATTTCCGCGCCCGAGCGCAGCACTGTTTGGGACGCCCTTCAGAGAGCGCAACGCGGCGCAGCCCCCGCAGCCACCGCAGCAGCCGCTACCTCCACGTCAGAACGTGACAATCGGTCGGCAGAACGGGAATTGCGGGAAGAGGATAGGCCGCCGAGTCGGGAAACGCGGGGAGAGACGCGGGAGGAGGAGTGCAGTAGTGGAGGTGAGGAGGTTACTTCTCGTTTTCGTGAGGAATGGCGAAGCGAGAGAACGGAGGCGGGGGAAAGCCCGCACGGGCAACAATCGACGGCTGGAGGTCGCATCAGCGCGCAGTCTCAACAGCAGGAACGGTCGAGATTGCGGCAAGGGCAGCAGCCACTAGGCCCGCCGCGAAAGGCGGGTTTGAACGAGCAGCAGCAGCGCCCGCCGCAGCAACCGCCGCAGCATCCGCCGCTGCAGCAGCAGGTGCTGAAGCGCCAGACGCACGGCCAAGCTCCGCACGGCTCCCCTCAGGTCGCTCCGCGCGCGCGGAACGCGCAAGGCTTGGTGGAGGGTTTGGCGGAGGGGGCGGAGCGCTCGACCAGCGCGCCGAGGGTGCACCATGCGCGGAGAGCCAGCAGCGGCGCAGCTCTCGCGCTGCCATCTGCGCAGAACGCTGGTGAGGGGAGGATGGGGGGCTTGCGGGACGGCAGCCCCGCGAAACCCGTAAGCGGACGTGGGGGAAGAGACGGGGCTTCCGCGCAAGCGGATTTCGAGCCAAAGCGGAGCCACCTTTCCCCCATGCAGCTTCCCCAATCGCAGCAGGCAGCCAGCGCAGGCCCGCGGGCTGGAGTTGGAAATACCCCTCCGCGATTGAGGCTGGATCGTATGGCGAGTACGGGTTTTCTGGCGGTAAGCCCGGAGAACCGATCCCCCGCCGCTACAGACATGCTCGGGCGGCCGTTCCCCGTGAAACAGGCGCCCTCCCGCTCCAGCTCCGAGTCTTCCGACGCGGAAGAGGAGGGGGAGCGCGGAACGGGAAAGGGGGGGGGCAGGGGGGAAGGAAAGGGGGAAACGGGAGTGCGCAGGGGGGAGGGTGCCGGGGGAACGGCGCAGGGAGGGGGAAGCGGGGCGGGTGGGCCAGAGATAGTGGTTGGGGATGTGCTCAGCATGCTCCCCGACAGCATAACGAATATGTTCTTCACGAGTATTAAGTCTGAACCGCCCAGTCCAGTTCCTTTTGGTACCCCGATAGCCAGTGGGACCAACCAGATAGGCAGCGCGTCTATCCAGTCGATTAAAGACGTCTCTAGAGGGCCAAAAACTGTGTCAGAGGGCGCTAACGCGCGCCCGGTTCAGGACATGGCGATTGCGTTCGCTCTGCCCAACTCCCACAGCGACAGCAGCAGTACAGGAGAAGTGTCCTTTCCTTTTCCCTCCTCCTCCTCCTCCTCCCACGCCCACCACCAAACCCCCGACCAAACCCCGTCATTCCCCTCCCGCGCGTCTCACCACCCCCCCAGGTCCCACCTCCCCTCAGCTTCAGTAGACCTCGACCCCAGATCGCACCTCCCCTGGAACCAGCCGCCTGACGCCTCCCCCATGAGCCTCGCAGGCTGGTTCCCCTCCTCCTCCTCCTACCAGGAACCTTCCGAGCACTCAAGTGAGGGAGGAGGGGGGATGGGGGAGGGGGAGGCGGGGCTGGGCGGGGTTGCTCCGCGGACCCCCCCCAAGCGCACCGTTTCGGGGGTTGATCCGCGGACGAGCAGCCGCGTGTCCCCAGAGAAGTGGGGGAATGGGGGGATAGGGGGAGCTGGGGGGGAAGGGGCGGGCGGAGGGTCGGGGGGACTGCAAGGGCGGGGAGGAGAGGTGGGAAGGGGTTCGGGAAGGTGGAGAACGATAGGTGTACCGGCCAGCAGGAGCGAGGAGGCGTCTGAGGGCGCTCAGAGGATCAGCGTGGGGGCGGGGAGAGGCGCACCAGAGCGACCTGCCACTGCCGCCCCTGCTCCTTCCGCCTCTGCCTACGCTGCTGAACGCGCTGCTGACGCTGCTGACCGTGCCACCGCTGCTGCGGCTGCGGCGGCTGCTGCTGCGTCTGGAGGTGCAGGCATGGATGGTGCTAGCACCCCCCGGCAGCGGCTATTCAACCGGGCTAACAGCGACCCTGAGCCTAGATCGCCGGGGGACCCGCGCCCCAACACCAGCAGCGGCGCGCTTGGGGGGCCTGCAGGCAGGGGGGATGGCGGAGGCGGAGGCGGAGGGGGGCGGGGGGGTGGGGAGTCGTCACTGGCGCGGCAGGTGCTGAGCAAGTGGCGGCACAAGATAGACTCGCGGCGCCCTGGCACCCCCCCCACCGTGCCCAAGAAAGACTTTCCCCCGCGCCCCCATGCCCCAGGGGAGAACCACCACCAGCACCAGCAGCACTCGCAGCAGCAGCAGCATGGCAGTAACAGTAGGTTGATGGCAGGGGGTGGGGCGGGTGAGGGAGGGGGCGGGGCAGGTGCTGCTTCGGGGGAGCTGTGGGGCGGCAGTGGGCGGCCTTTGTCAGCTGCTTCCCGCACGTCGTCCAACATAGAGGGCATGCTGCGCGGAGGGGAGGGGGGCGCGGGGAGGCGCTTGCAGAATGTGCGGATGCTTGGAAAGGGGGGAGGCGCAGGGGGAGGGGGAGGAGAAGGAGGGGCGGATGTGATGCAGGTGTGGGGGGGGGAGGAGAGCGAGGGGGAGGACGGTGTTTCTGCTGCTGGAAGTGTTGCTGGTGGTGGTGGTGCACATGGGAGAGAGGAGAGGGGGGCAGCAGCGGCCCCCCATGGCGCTGGTCCGCGGGGGGGCGCTGCCCCAGGGGCAGGGCGGGGGCACCAGCGGCGCATGTCATGGCAGCAACCCATGGAGCAGCGCGAGCAGCAGCAGCAGCAGCAGTCGCAGGTGTGGCAGAACCAAGGGGAGATGGATGGCGGACAGAAGAGCGCAGGGCAGCAGCGGGTGCCAGGAGTGGGGAGAGGGGAGGGGGGTATGGGCGGAAGGGCAGGGCCAGGGGGGAGAATGGGGGGTAGAGGGCGGGGAGGTGGAGGGGCAGGCGGGGAGGGGATGGGGGGAGGAAGGGGAGTGGGGGGAGGCGAGGTGGGGGGGGCGGCGGGCAGTGTGGATGAGGGGTATGGGGAGGAACGGCGGGGGCGGGAGAGGTATGGGGGGCAGAAGGGTGGCGGGGGGGACTCGTCCCCCGTGGAGAACGCTGCAAAGAACATTGTGTCTAAATGGCGCAAGTTCGTTAAGTCCCGCACGCCGGATAAGGGCGCGGCGGGAGCAGGAGGAGGAGGGGGAGGGGGAGGAGGGGCGGGGGAGGGAGTTGAGGGTGTGCAACGGAGGGAGAAGGAGAGGGAGCGGGAGCGGGAGAGGGAGCGGGAGAGGGAGGGGGAGGGGGAGGAGAGAGGAAGAGGGGATGAGGGGGAGAGGGGGAGGGATGTGGTGCAGCAACTGGATTTCACTGGGACCAGCAGTGGGGAGGTGAGTGCGATAAGTGAAGTTGTACTGCTGAGTCATTAGTTAGCAGCAATGCCTTCTTCCCTCTAGTTAGCAGCAATGCCTTCTTCCCTCTAGTTAGCAGCAATACCTTCTTCCCTCTATGTCGCATGAGCTCTGTAGTGGGTGCTCGTTGTGATTTGAGTCGACCATATAGTTCTCCTCGTTCTACGCCGTATCGCCCCTGTGGATGGACTTTACCTGCCACTCCCTCTCGCTCTTGCTTTGCCTTGCTCAGATCCTCTTGCTTTGCCTTGCTCAGATCCTCTGTTATCCTATTCAGTACTCGTCTGTCCGTCATCCACTCTCCCTCACCCCATTACTCTATCTGCTGCCGACTCGCCGTCCCCACCCACCTTCTTCCCAACCGACTCCCCCGACCACTCCCCCCCTGGCAGCAGAGTGGCAGTGAAGCGCGCCTGCAGAGGCGCTTCTCAGACAAGTCCCGCGCCCCCCTCCCCCCCCACGCTGCCCGCAACTCCACCCCTCCTCGCCTCGCCCCCCCTGCGCCCTCCGCCCCGCACCACTCCTCTCTCCGCCCCTCCTCCCCCTCCCTACGCTCTTCCTCCCCCTCCCTACGCCCGTCCTCCCCGTCCCTCCGCTCCTCCGCCCCCTCCCTCCGCCCTCCATCCCCTTCCCCACGCTCCCCTTCCCCGTCCATCCGCCCTCCATCCCCCTCCATGCGCCCCTCCTCCCCCCCCACGTCCTCGCCCTCCTCCATCACATCAGCCTCTAGCTTCGCCTCTTCCTCCCTTGCCTCCTCCGCCGCCCCCCCGTTGCTGTCCAAGTTTCCCCGAAGTGCTTCCACTGCTGCCCCTAACACCGCTGTAGGCCCGGTTTACTCCGACCCTACAATAGCACCATCCAGTCGCAACAGATTCCCCAGGCCTCACGCCGAACCTGCCACATCTACAGGTTCGGCAGGCTCCTCCACGTCGCCGCCACTTGTCAGGTCCGTTACTGCTTCGGGGTCAGGCCCGGGAGGCCTTGGCTCGGCCCATGGTAAGCCGGCAGGTTCGGGGCGCAAGCCAGTGGACATATCTCAGGCTCTGAACAACCTGCTGTCGCTGCTAAGCCCGGAGGAGCAGCAGAAGCTGAAGCAGTCATGGAGCCTTCTAGACAGCAGCGCAGCAGCAGGGGGAGGAGGTGGGGGAGGGGGAGGTGGCGCAGGGGGCATGGGCGCAGGGTTGTTGCTCGCGGGGGAGGGAGGGGAGGGGGTGCATAAGCAGCTGAGCGCGCAGCAGGAGCAGCAGCAGCAGCAGATGCGGCTGCAGCAGGTGAAGCAGCAGCTGCTGCAGCAGAGGGGCGGGCAGGTGGGGGGCATGGGGGGGAGGGGAGCTGGCGCAGGGGGAAGGGCAGGGGGAAGGGGAGGCGGAAGGGGGCACAGGCGGCAGCGGACAGAGGGTGGGCTGGTTCTGGGCGGTTTCGGTGGGGATCTGGGGTTGGGGGAGACGGGGATTGAGGGGGGGAAAGAGTGGGCGGAGAGGGGGGTGGATGTGAGGGAGGGTGGGGGAGGGAGAGGGGTGGGGGCGGCAGGGAGAGGAGGGAGAGGGGGAAGAGGGGGGCGAGGGTCACTGGATGACTGGGATGGGGGGGTGGGGCGGACAGGGGCAGGTGATGTGAAGGGATTGCAAGTCCTGGGACCGGAAGGGACGGCTGGAGCAGCAGCAGCAAGAGGAGCAGCAGGGGGACGAGGAGGGGGAGGACGGGGGGCAGCAGGCGGGAGGCTAGGAGCAGTACGGGCGGGGGGAAGAGGGGGGGTGGGAGGGGAAGGGAGGGCAGGGAGGGGGCGGCACCAGCGCACGCGGTCAGACTTTGTGATTGGCGGGGTGGATATGAGCCTTGACCTGGGCGCGGGGTTGGGGTTGGGGTTGGGGGCGGGAGTGAGCAGTGCAGGGCGTGCTAGCATGGATGGACCTGGGCAGGCCAGAGGGGCAGGCAGAGAGCACAGCGGCGCAAGAGAGGGCGCAGGGCGGGAGGGGGTGGGGAGGGCGCAAGCAGCAGGTGGGTTGGGTGCGGTGGGGAGGAGTGGGGGCGGCAAGGGGGAAGGTGAGGAGCGGAATGGGCGACTGCTGCGGAGCCGGTCGGGTGCTGCTGGGCTGCTGGAGGCGCATGGGGATGGGGAGAGGAGCGAGAGGAGTGAGAGTGGCGAGCATGAGAGGCGCGGGAGGGGGGGAGAGGAGGACAGGAGTGTGTCAGTGGGGCGGCGCAGGGAGGTGGGGTGGGCAGACCTTGATCAGGAGGTGCAAGGGGGAATGGGGGACGCGAGAGGCGGGGGGGAGGCGAGAGGCATGGGGGAGGCGAGAGGCATGGGGGAGAGAGGCATGGGGGAGAGAGGCATGGAGGAGAGAGGCATGGGGGAGAGAGGCATGGGGGAGAGGGAGACACTGTTGCGAGCAAGGTCGTCCCGGGAAGGTGGAGCGCGCGGGCTGCTGCTGGGGGATCTGGAAGGGGGTGCAGGGGAGGAGCGCACAGGCGGGGCAGCAGCAGCAGCAGGTGCAGCAGGTGGGGCAGGGACGGGGACGGTGGGTGGGGGGAGGGCGCGGGGGGAGCTGACTCGATCCCGGTCTCAGAAGGAGGGGGGTTCCCGAGGGGTCATGTTTGCTGATACGGTGGAAGATTCGCGGAAGGAGCAGGCGAGTGAGGGAGTGAGAAGGCGACTGTCTGATCCACCGCGCGACCATCACAGTCAAGGTCAAGCGAGTCAACTGAGTCAAGCGAGTCAAGCGAGTCAAGCAAGTCAATACAGTCAAGGCAGTCAAGAGAGCCAAGCAAGGCGGCATGTGAGAGAGGCAAGCGAGGACATGGGGGACGATGTGGTGGACGCCAGGCCCCTCGTGCACGTCCCCGCCCCCCTGCTGCCGCCCTCCCCCCGCCCGTCCCTGCCCAGTCAAGCCAGTCAAGGCAGTCAAGGGACGCAGCCAGGGCAGCAGCAGCAGCAGGGTGAGGGGGGGTGGGAGCCGAGGCAGCAGGGGGTGCAGCAGAGGGCGCAGCAGGGGGTGCAGCAGCAGGGGGGGCGTGGGGGGAGGAATGGGAGGGAAGATTCAATGGATCTGGATGACGACGTTGTGAATGCCGTGCCGCTGGCGCCTCTAGACAGGGCCACTGCTGTTGTGGATGAGGAGGAGGAGGAGGAGGGAGGTGAGTCGGTGAGTGAGAAGGGCAGCCCGGGGGTGATTACGGGGAGGAGTGGCGAGGGGGAGGAGCAGGAGGGGCGGCAGCAGCAGGGGCAGGTGCAGCAGCAGTCAGGGGGAGCAGAGTTGGTGCATTCGCCACAGGTGATATCGCCGCGACTACCAGCAGCGGCAGGGGGGGCAGGGTTGGGGGCGATGGGCCTTGTAGCTGCAGCAGCACGGCGGCAGCAGCATGTGAACCCGTGGCAGCAGACCCGCGAGATGGAGGACATTCTAATGCCCTCCCGCGACCTCTCTCCCGCCCGCCCCTCCTCCTCCTCCACTGCTGCTGGTGCCGGTGCTGCCGGCGGTGCGGGCAGGGGCAAGGGCGGCAAGGCAGGCAGCAGCAGCAGCAGCAGCAGCAGCGCGGCAGTGCTGCGGTCGACGTCGGTGAGAGAAACCTCCTCCACCCGCCCGGGCTTCTCTGTTGAACTGCCCTCGCACCCCCACCACCCACACCACCACCACCCCGTGCACAACCACGTGGGAGCAGCAGCAGCCGCCGCAGCGGCAGACAGGGACGGGCAGGTGAGTTCCCGAGGGAGCTCACGGCCGGACACACCTGCGTCGCGCCCCGACACACCGTCGTCCCGCCCCGCCACACCCTCGTCCCCGGGGTTCATTATGACGCCCCGGGGGGGGCTGCGCCTGTCACGGCGCCTCATGGGCGTGGAGGGCGCAGAGGACCTTATGAGGGCTGCTCTCGCCCGCCTGCAGCACCACTCGCACGCCGCTCCCTCAGGTGCCCCCTCAGGTGCTTTTCCAGGTGCTGTTGTGTCACCGAGGCGTGGGGCGGTCGCAGTGGTAGCAGGTGCAGTGGGAGGGAGGGATGGGGAGGGGGAGGTGGCTGTGTACGGCAGCTGGGCGGGAGGAGGACTGGCTGAGAATGCTGCCGACTCGCTACAGTCCCTTGCCGCCCAGGTCTCTGCCGGCCGGTTGCCGGCCAGGCCAGGATCCAGTGGAGGGAACCGACCGGTCACTGTAGCTCCAGCTACAGTGGCCCCTGCCGCCCGGCCATCCTCTCGCCCTATGGGGATGCGGCCGGCAGCTTTGGATCTTCCTGCCGGCCGGCCAGGGTCACCATTGGCCAGCGGAGCAACAGCAACAGCAACAGCAGGGGGGGCAGGAGCAGCAGCAGGCGGCCCGCATGGCTCTCATCATCTCCCATCTGACTCTGTGAGCCCTCCCCTCTCCAGCAGCCTCTCTCCTGCTGGCCTCAGCTCCCCCGAATCCGCCCTCTCCAGCCCGCCCCTGGCCGAGGTGGCAGTGTGGGCGCCGGGGGAAGGGAGTGTGGGTGGGGAGAGAATGGGGTCTGGTGGGGGTGCTGTGGGCGGGCAAGGAGAGGGGCTGTCGTTCTGGGGGCATGGGAATGACGAGACCAGCAGTTACCACAACCACTATCCGCAGCAACATCAGCAGGATGAGCATCCGCACCAGCACCAGCAACAATGGCAACAACAAAGTCGGCAGCACCAGCAGCAGCAAGAGCAGCAGGAGCAGCAGCTGCAGGAGGGGAGATTGGAGTCGGGTCAAGGCCCATGGCTGGGAGCAGCAGCGAGTGAAGCAGAGAGGGGGGCAGGAGGGGGAGCAGGCGCAGGAGGGGAGGTGTGTGGGAGCCCAGAGGGGTCGGTGGGGGTGTGCTCGCTGGTGGACGTGTGCTCGCCCGTGTACAGTGCAGACGAGGGCAGCGTTGTCCTGGGCGGCGGCGGGCGGCGGTTGTCACGGCATTCCAGCCGGGCGTCTATAGGGTCGCCTGAGGCTGGGGCGGGCGGGGGGAGAGGGGGAAAGCGGGGCGCATGGGGCGTGGGGCGGATTTTGGAGGGCGGGGAGGTGGGGGTGAGTGGGGGAGGGGAAGGAGGGGCGGAGGGGAAGCGGGCAAGGGCGAAAGTGGGGGAGAGAAAAGGGGAGGGGGAGGAGGGTGAGGAGGGGGAAGGAGAGGCGCATGGAAGAGGCAGTCAGGAAGCCGATGCCTTTGAGTTTGACATGGACGATGCTGACGTGGCTGCAGCCCGGGATGGCCCGGCTGGCGCTGACGTGGCACGGGACGGCCGGCCCTCGACCAATGGGGCACTGCCAGGGGGGATGGGTGGGGACATGGGGAGCAGCAGCATGGGCATGGATGGTCACATGCATGGGGCCATGCATGGTGATGGCTCCTCACACATGATGATGAATGGCATGCCCATGCCCCCACCTAATGGTGCCCCACAATTTCCCGGGCAGGTCTTCCCCCCCGGGATGATCCCAGACATGAACGGGCAGCAGCAGCTCATTCCCGGGCAGATGTTTCCAGACCCCTCTCAGCCCTTCCCCCAAGGAGACCAGCAATTTCCCTTTCTTGGGCAGCCCTTCCCTCTGCCCGGATACCCATTCCCTCTCCCCGGTCAATCCATGCCGGAAGGCATGCAGGGGCAGCTTCCTCCCGGGCAGTTCCCCGGGCAACCTCCCCAAATCCCCGGCTTCCCTGCCGGGTTTCCGGGCGGCATGCTGCCGGGGCAGCTGGGCGGCATGATGCCGCCCGAGATGCTCCCGGGGCTACAGTGCCCGCGGTTCATACTGCGCCGCCCGTATCGCAACATCGAGCGCGAGTACATGCTGCAGGAGAGGGCGCCCCTGGGCACGGGGCAGTTTGGCATCATCCGCAGCTGTGTGAAGCTCAAGACCGGGGAGGTGCTGGCGTGTAAGAGCATCAGCAAGAGCACCTTCCAGGTCAGTACACCCGCTTTCCAGGTCAGCAAATACCCTTTGTAAGTCAGCAATGCCGTACAGGGCTATGGCATGCATTTCATTGCAGCATCAATTGTGGTGCCTGCCTCCCTGAATTCCGCTCCGTTTACACATGTAACCCATCACACACACCATCACACACACCATCGCACACACCATCACGGGCCTAAACCATTCGCTGCATGCCGTGCTATCTCATCCCAAACATTACCATGCGACACTAAGCCACTCCCCACCATGTCCCACCACGCTCCACCACACCCCGCCACTCTGCACCGCACCCCACCATGCAGTACGCGGACGATGCGGAGGCGGTGGGCATGGAGGTGGCGGTGATGGAGATGCTGAACGGCCACCCGCACATCATACGCATACGCGATGCCTTTGAGGACTCCCGGGTGAGTTAGCCTTGCAGCGAATGGGGCGTTTGAGGTGTTAAGTTGCTCTGCAGCACCATCCTCCACCACCACTTTTGTTTCTTGGAATATTCTCCAAGTTGACTTCTATGGACTTTCTTGTTCCATTCCATTCAATTCCACTTGCTTAGACGCTCAAAATCTGTATCCCTCCTCCCTTTCAGCACACCCCCTTCCCCCTTCCCTCTCCTCCCCCTCCCCCCCAGCCCCCCCCCCCAAGGACGTACACATGGTGATGGTGATGGAGATGTGCACAAGGGGGCGACCAACAACATGTATTCCGAGTCAGCTCATAGCATCCACCCCTACCTCCTCCCACGCCCCCCTCCCCTTCCCCTCCCCCCCAGGACGTGCACATGGTGACGGAGATGTGCACATGGTGATGGAGATGTGCACATGGTGACGGAGATGTGCACATGGTGATGGAGATGTGCACATGGTGATGGAGATGTGCACATGGTGATGGAGATGTGCACATGGTGATGGAGATGTGCACATGGTGATGGAGATGTGCACATGGTGATGGAGATGTGCACATGGTGATGGAGATGTGCACATGGTGATGGAGATGTGCACATGGTGATGGAGATGTGCGGGGGGGGCGATCTGAGGGGCGGACCTGCAACGCGTATTCAGGCTTAGCCTCACTTATGCCCTCCGCCATTCCCCCCTCTCCCTTCCCCCCTCCCCTCCCACAATACAGGACGTGCACATAGTGATGGAGATGTGCACGGGCGGTGACCTGCACGACCGAGTGAAGACGCACGGGCCGTACAGCGAGGAGGGCGCGGCTGCCGTGCTGCGCGGGCTGGTGGAGGCGCTGCTGTGCTGCCACGGGAAGGGCATCATGCACCGCGACGTCAAGCCCGAGAACGTGCTCATCTGTGACACGCAGGACGACACAAGGGTCAAGCTGATCGACTTTGGAGTCGCCACGTTCATCGAGCCAGGTGGGGAGGGGATGTGTGCGGTGCAGTGCGGTCCGGTCAGGTGCAGTACTTCATTAGCGGCTGGGCCTGTGTCATGTGCTGTGCACAGTCTACGGGCACTGCCACGTGCATTGCACCCCTGTCCAACCACATGTGGTAACCTCTGTGCACGCTCCCATGGTCATCCCCCCAAGAGGTCATCCCTCATAGCTCATCACTCTCTGTGGCTGCTGAGACAGCACACGGGTCTCTGTGTTGCCATGTGTTCCCAGTCATCCATCCATCCCGGCATTGTCCTCCCACCCCCCTGCATGCACGCGTCCTGCGTGGAGTTGGTCTGCATGCCCATGGAATGGAAATCGCCCCGGAGGTCATCACTGGAGCACACGGGCCTTCCTGCTGACGGGCCTTCCTGCTGACAGGCAACCCCATCTGACAGGCAACCCCATCTGACAGGCAACCCCATCTGACAGGCAACCCCATCTGACAGGCAACCCCATCTGACAGGCAACCCCATCTGACAGGCAACCCCATCTGACAGGCAACCCCATCTGACAGGCAACCCATCTGACAGGCAACCCCATCTGACAGGCAACCCCATCCATCCTGCCTTTGCCACCCACTGCCCATCCCCCACATCCCTGCAGATGCGTCCTGCATGGAGAATGTGGGCACGCCCATGTGCATCGCCCCCGCCTCTGTGCTGCCGTTCACCCCGAATCCATCCATCCATGTTTCCCCCACATACTCTGTCCTGCCCCCTGCCCCTGCCAGACGCGTCCTGCATGGAGTTGGTGGGCACGCCCATGTACATGGCCCCGGCCTCTGTGCCGCCATTCACCCTAACCAATCGATCCATCCATGCACTCATCAATGCCCTGCCCCTTCAGATGCGTCCTGCATGGAGTTGGTGGGCACGCCCATGTACATGGCCCCGGCCTCTGTGCCGCCATTCACCCTAACCAATCGATCCATCCATGCACTCATCAATGCCCTGCCCCTTCAGATGCGTCCTGCATGGAGTTCGTGGGCACACCCATGTACATCGCCCCGGAGGTCATCACCGGCGCGCACGGCCCCGAGGCCGACATCTGGTCGGCGGGCGTCGTCTTATACATCCTGCTGTGCGGCATGCCGCCCTTCTGGGCGTCCACCAATGAGGCCATCTTCCAGGCCATCAAGGAGAGTGAGGTGTCCTTCTCCTCGCCGCGCTGGCAGACCATATCGGAGAGCGCCAAGAACCTTGTAAAGAGGATGCTTACAAAGGATCCCAAGATGCGCATCCTGGGTGCTCAAGTGCTCGGTGAGTTCTGGATGGGATAGGGTGGGTGCTGGGTGGTTGGTTGTGGTGGGGAGAGTGGTGGGTGTGATGGGGAGTGGGGTGGGTGGCTGGGCTTGGTTCGTGAGTGTTGGTTTGAAGATGCTGATCCCATGGACTCTCAAGGGGCACTGACACACCTCCCTCCCTCCCATTACCCCCACCTTCAAACTCCCCTCTGTGCATTGGCTTTCAACATGCAGAGCACCCGTGGGTGAAATACATGACTGATAGGGAGGAGCCGTGACCGCATGCCATGGCCATTACAGAAGTAGCCGTGGCAGCACTGACAGGCATGTTTGCAACTTCACAATCTGTGCAGAGTAGGCATCGATCTAACAGCCTAGGGCCACCCCACATTGACCTGTATCGCCTCTCTCTGCCCTGCAGTGAAAAACGCTGCATGCTGTAACTGAGAGTTAGGCAGGGAGGCTACTGACACGGGTGGCTTAGTGGCCGCTGGTAGAGTCAATAAAGTGAGGCTTATGGTCAAGCCAGTGCATTGCAGCGGCTTACTGTGAAGACACTGTAATCCACACAAGGATGTGAAGTGGAGACTTTGCCCTTCATGTGAGTTGGGCATTAGTCATGGTAGCTTGCTTACCGTCAGAGGCAATGACCTTGTCTAACAAAGGCCAGTTTGAATTGCAGCATGACGAGAAAAGAGAAGAGACATCCCATTTCTGATTGTAAATGCCATTGACATACATGTTAAAACTGTACACTAAAATCATAAATGTATGAGGCCTGCCATCTTGTTGGGGAACTCAGTAGCCTGCAGCATGCAGCTACGCCGGGCAAAAAACCACCACCACATGCACACAAATGCTGCAAGTCGATACTTTTATTAGATTGTTTCTTGTACAGTTGCTAGTGGTTCTGTAGACCTTGTTGTATGCACTCACTGTGCTGCTTGGGTGTGCTTCTGAATCCACGGGTGTGCTGCGCGCAAAAAAAAAAAAACAGGAAATAAAAAGGAGAAGATGAGAACGATAACCGTATGGAGCAAGGATTTGAACTAGGCAGTAGTAGCACCAAATTTATGAGCAGGAAGGTGAGCTGGCAGCTAGGTGTAGGAGTTGGTGACTCACCTAGCACTTCTCGAGCTGTGATGCGATCCAGAGGGTCTTTCTCCAGCATCCTCGTTATAAGGTCCTTGGCCTCCTCGGACACAGTCGCCCACTTCCAATACTTGAACACCACCTTCTTCTTCTTGACCGCCTCCTCTAGCGTCCGATTGGATGACTCCCAGAAGGGCGGCACGCCTGAGAGCATCACATAGAGCGACACCCCGGCGCTCCACACATCCGCCTCGTAGTTGTAACACTCGTCTAGCACCTCCGGTGCCATGTACTCCGGTGTTCCCGCCATTTCCCGGCACATTGCACCTTCCTTGAGAACTGTAGCCACGCCGAAGTCGATGAGCTTTATAGGGACATTGTTGCTGGGGCTACAAAGGAGGATGTTTTCAGGCTTGATGTCGCGATGGAGAATGCCAAGCGAGCGGCAGTGGAGCAGGGCTTCCAGGAGCTGCTTCAGCACAAGAGCAGCATCTGGCTCCGGGATTTGACCTTGCGATTTGATTCGGTCAAAGAGATCACCACCCGCGCATAGCTCCATCACCAAGTGAATGGCTTTGTCGTCTTCAAAGACCTCTTGAAGAGTGATAACTGAGGGATGGCCTCGAAGCATGGCAAGGAAGGTTACCTCCCTTCGTACATCGTCAGCATCCTCAATTGTCTGTAAGGAAAGAAGAAAACATGATCATTGGTATGGTGAGGAGAAAATAACGCTTTTAAAAAAGAACAAACAAACAATGGGTTGCAGCCATGTAGTTTCACAGTAAACTGTAGCATGCCTGAATGGTAACTCACCTCAATGGTCTTCTTCAATATTGTTTTACACGCGTACACCTGCCCTGTGGCGCGCTCCAAGCAGGTTCGGATGGTTCCGAACCTGCCTTCTCCAATCTCCTTCTTCCCCAGTGAGTATCGCCCCTTGATATCATCATAGGGCATCCGAAGCACGAAATCGGTCGGCTTCAGATTTGGCACGGCTGACTCGAGGGCGCCTTGTAGCTCGAGGCCTCCCAGACCAAGGCTCAAGTTTCCCCACTTAGGCCCGTGTAAGCCCGTGCCTACATCCGAGCCTGGTTGATTACCCCAGCTGAAACCTGCTGCACTTGCTTCCGCACACGCCAAAAGCGCCGCCTCGAACGCTTCCCACTGTGTGGAGTTTCCGCTGCCTCCTCCTGTCACACTGCCGCTGCTGCTGGTTCGCGAGTGCGAGCGGAACCCCGCGAACACGTCCAGCTGGCTCCCGCTGTTGTACTTGCGCGCGTGCCTCGGCTGTTGCTGTTCTGGCCGAGCCCCTCGTGCTTTGGGCCCAACCGGAGTCCCTAGTTCGGCAGCAGCTTGCGCTTGAGGGTACCCGAGGCTCGATGCGTTTCCGTGATCAAGGCTGGGTGCAGTCGGGCTCGAGCCGGCGTAGCGTTCATTAACCACCGAGCCAGTGCGATACACGCTTTGCTTTGAAGTAGCACGGGGCACGGCGGGCGGAAGTCTGTCCTTGGCGGACAAAGAGGGAGGGGACGACGATTGGAAGGACAGCACGGACGCGCAGCTTGGGAACTGCGGGGACTCGCGGCGTTTGAGCGGCAGAGGCGCGTTGCGGGGGGGAGTGACGGAACGGAAACCTTGACTGGGCTGAGTGAAAGCGGAGTGCGAATCAGACGCCATTCGCGACCCCAACATGGGCTTTCCCGCGATGGGCTGCTGCGACGGCATCAGCTGCTCTCTCAACGTCTGCGCGCTTTCCGCGTCGCCCGCATCCTCTTCGGACTGCGCGCCGTATAAGTCGCTATCCTCGGCCTTGTCGTTTCGCATCTTCGGCATCAACACGTTTCCGTCTCCTACCCACCCCCGCATGTCACTACCAACGTCCGCCTCCTGACCTTCCCAGCTGCTGCAAAGCGATATACCGCTCGCGCTGCTCCCCTTCGCCCCTCGTCGACTCGTCCCCGGCGCGGCTCGCTTGTCCGCTCGCGCGCGATTCTTCGCGCCAATCCGATCGTTTCGCTGCTGGAAAACGCCAAGCTCGTCGGCGTTAGCGGCCAGCATCTCGTGCAGCAGCTCCCGCGGCAAGTCGTCGAATTCTTGGAAGAACCGCAGGTCAATTCCGCCGACGCCGCCGTTCACCTTCGTGCTCAATCCGCCCGTGGCCCTCACACCGCCACCACCGCCGCCGCCAGCAGCTCTGTTCGACAGCCCCGCCTGCCGCGTGTCGGCCAGCAGCTCGTCCACGCTGACCATCCGGTGGTGAGCCTTGCCGCCAGCGCCGTTGCGCCCGGCCACGACTTGCCCCCGAGCCGCGCGCTGCCGCCCAGCTTTTTTTGCCCGACCTCCCGCGGAAACCGCCTCTGCCTGCGTTTTGTCCGCCACGCCAAGCCCCGCGCTGGCCGACTGCGGCATTCGCTCGTTGCTCTTGCGCGGCCCCTCTGCCTTTTGCCAGTCCTCGAGTTCCCATTGAATACCGCGCGCGCTGCACTCCTCCATCAGTTGGCGCGCCGACGCCACCACATCCATCGCCGCGCCGTACGGCGACGTCTGCTCGGCGGCGAGCGCCGTCGGTGACAAAGAATAATTCGCGGGGTCGACGCCGCTACAGGAGCCTCGGCCAGGCGTGAGAGCCGCTGAGACGAACGCATGCTCGTCGAGCGACAGACGCGGGGCGTGAGAGCCGCGGCGGGTGCCCCTGGCGGCACCTGAAGCGCCGAGGGGCTGGGAGGACGGAGGCCGGGGCAGGCGCGTGGATTGTCGGCGGTGGACGGGCGACAGTCTGCCGTCATCGCCTGGCTGGATGCGAAACTCCCCAGACCGGGAGTGGGGCACGCCGCGGGGCGGCAACGGTGCGGGCGCTGGGCTGGATAGTGAATGGGGGAAAAGCAAATCCGCCTCGCTGCCACGCCGTCGCAACGCGACTCTGTGATTTCCTTCCCGCCGCTGTCGCAGCGGCGACCGGGCTGGGGACAGCGACGGCCCCGCGTAGGAGGAAACCCCGCTCTCCTCGTTCCGTTCGAGTGGAATCTGGCCGCAACTCACGGCGCTGCGGGGAGTCCCGTGTCTCATGCGCGAGACGGGAGGAACATGATTTGTTGGCCGAGAAGGAGGAGAAACGTGAAGCTCGGTTGCGGATCGTTGCCGGCGGTGCTGACTGCCGTGACTTTCAGTCAATACCGTGGGTGCGGGATACCCGTAGCAGCGATCAAAGGGGCTTTGCTCGTCAAGCGCAGTGCCTTGACGCGGCGCTTCGAGACTAAGCATATTGCTATCCGAGGATACGGTGCGATGATGACGTGACGACTTCTCTGCGCGCGGCCTAAGGGACTGAAGCTCGGGGGTCGAGAAGAGACCGTAACTTGGAATGCTAGGAAAGACTTGCTCGTTTGAAGGAGGCTCGTGCGTGGTGATACTGCGGGGATGAGAGCCCAACATTGAGTGGTACTGTAACTCCCTGATGTTAGTGATAATGTTGAGTCACTGCTCTTCAGGTGAGACGCGTAAAGCCAGGAGAATCATAGGAACAGAGCTCAACATTGGGTGACATCGAGTGAGGGAAGAGGTGCAGTGCGGAGTAAAATTCGTCGGACAAAGAGAACAGCTGGCAGTTTGAAGTTACGCGGCAGCGAGGATCACAAGAGATACTCGACGGGGAAGAGTCGATCTGTGGCGAGGAAACAAAATGATTCCCCCAAAAGGACCGTGTGAGTAGGGTAGCGTCACTCAGGGGGGCTGCTGTATGGGGCAATGGAGAGTGGTGGAAAATCGATTAGTGTAATGCTGCTTTTCCAAGAATTTTATTGCAATGCTGCTGCTTGCATTGCATTTCTTGTCGTTGTCTTCATTTTCAAGCCGGCGATGCGAGAAATGGGATGAGATGGGACTGTTTTGGCACGCTTCCGACATTCATGTCTGGCGTCGCAATGTCGGTCGCATGTACCCCGGGCCAAAAAGGCATATACACCCTGTTTCGCGCTAGCAGAGCATCTGGTTGCAGAACATGCACTGGTTGTAGAACGTCACCACGTTTGAAATGGTCTTATCACCGACGGTACAAGCACATTCACAAGAAAGCGGTTAGCTAGGATGCTGCATGGTAAAGAACATTAACCAAGCTATTCAAAGCGGTTGAAAAGGGTATACAGCGATAAAGAAAAATTTTGCCCCCAGTACCACTCCGTCAGCTGGTGCGGCTTTGCCCGCAGGTTTCAGCCATACGGTTTATGGCACCTGACCGCACTGTAGCAGCGAATCGCGCAAGGTGAGAGGGTCGAGAAACAGGGTGTACAATGACAGCTGCTTGAAACACAGATCTGTGGGATGTGATGTGTGCAAAATGTTGCCCGTCTCTGGACGCATGTGTGGGAAGCAGGGATTTACCACTGCAACACGGCTGGCATTGCATTAGGGGATGTATGCACTTGTACACCATTCTGTGGATGTACGAACCTTACACCTGCCCCCACCTTCAGGGCGTGAACTGGGCGGCGGCGATACGACCACTTCGGGCTGAACTTGTTTCGATCATAGGAATTCGCTTCCTACCTGTCTGGAAACGCAAGTCTCCAAGGTACAGTAGTACTCAAATATGCACAGCCAAACCCTGAAAGTCAGAACCTATATCCTGCGATCGCGTTTCTCCTCCATTACTCCATTAGAATTGTGAGTCACGTTTGTTTTTTCCGGGCCTTCGGGTGAAAAATGTCAATTACGTATGGAGGAGAACTGCTCTTTCATGACAGAGGGAAACAATTGGCCCTGACTGGGTGGATGGGGCTATCCGTGCAGCAAAACGTGTAAAATGATGACACTATATGTGTGTTATTGAATGTCACATATTGTATCAGTCAACCACCCATACACATGCAATTTGAGGCAAAACTGATTTGGGAATTGGTCTTCAATAGAAGAAACTTCACAGTAATAATAAGCTTCCCAATGTTAAGTAAATGATATCTTCAATTGTTTCTCTATAGTTCTAAATAGTTATGGAATAATTCATATAATGTTATTCATATATCTACCAGTAAGAATGTACCGTGCAGAGAGTACGATGGGAACTATCCGATCGTACACTTACGAACTGAGAGTTGGGCGCGACTGTTACCTGTATATCAGGACTTTTTTAGAATCGACTTTGGTTCGGGCTAGAACTAGACTGCGCATTACGTGTACCGGTCCCCTGTTTTTAGGGACCCATTTCATCGCTTCAAACCAGGAAAGGGAGTGGGAGCAGCTGCGGGACCTTGAAATTTGAGATTGCATGTGTAGCACCAGTGCACCCTATTTTGCGCTAGTAAAGCATCTGGTTACAGTACACATACGGGGCTGTAGAACGTCACCACGTTCAGAACAGTCTTGTCACCAACTGTACAAGCACAACACGAAGAATGCGGTTTGGTGAGGTGATGCACGTTACAAACAGCCTTGTCAGCGTTCTTGAGCCAGTTTGTCACGTGGTTCGGCTTTTCCCCCCAGGTTGCTAGGAACGTTTTATGGTACCTGACCGCGTGAGACAAGTAATGCAGCAACAAGTCGCGCTAGGTGAAATGCTTGAGAAAAAGGGGTGTAAACGTGCGAATCGCATAAAAAATGGCAGCAGCCATCTAGTTCCTTGATGGAGGAGACTTTTGCTCAATTCCGCGGAAGCGCAGTTTGATTTATTTTTGCCACGTGGCGAGCCTATGATCGCGTGAGCCGCAATATGTTCTATTGTTATTACAAACTTCAAGAGAAATTTAATTAAGTTCTGTACTGCGCTGTCCACGGGCAAAAATGAAACCCCTATGGGTAGGCATGCGTTATGGATGCATCAACCCGAAACACCTAGAGGCAAGGGGTTTAGGGTTGATGCCTCCCTAACGCATGCCAGGCCCGAATGGGCTTTATTTTTGCCCGTGGACAGCGCAGTACAGAACTTAACTAAATGTCTCTAGGAGTCTGTGATAACAATATAACAGATCGCGATTCACGCGATCGAAGGCATGCCACATGACGATATTAAAACGAGCCATGATTCCGCGGAGTTGAGCAAAACCCTCTTGATGAAGGGTAGAGTCAAGGAAGGCTCCAGCTTCTGCCACCTTGAAAATAAAATTCGTTGGTACATGTCACACAGCCAACGAACGGTTGCGACCGAAAAACATGCCCGTATGAACAATTCACCAAGCACCTGAGAGGGTTGCAGTGACAATCAACCAGGAATGTACGAGATCTTTCGAAATCTCCGGATCCCTCTTTCAAGATCTGAAACAGAAATGTCCAAAGCAGAGTGTTCGCCTTGTTTTCCCTGAAAACCAAAAGGGTTTAATTTCCATCCAGGCTGGATCCGATGGGTTTTTTTTAACCGAGCCTGTAAAAAAAAAAAAGGCGGGTTTGAGTCCTTTTACATTTTCGATCCTTCCAACTCCCTCTTCTCACTGCGCGAGGGTCACTGGTAGAGCAGACATTAGAAAGCGCCATTTCGAGGTCCTGGCACATTGCGAGGGACCAGCGCTTGGAAGCAGTTCTCTCTTTTCATCTCGAGCCACTCTTCCAAATCAGGGATCCCTCACCCGCAACTCGGCCGGGTAACTGGTGACGAAAACAGGGTAGAGGCAGGCGATTGTTGAGTTGTGAGAGAACCATTCATACATCACCACATTTCGATATCGTGAGGTGTTCATGGCCCTGAAAATGATGGATTGACGGCCAAGTCCTTCAGTCTTGGCCCATTTGAGAGTTACCAAGCGGTAATAGGGAAACCTGGCCAAGTGCCGGGTTACAGATACAGTAACACATGTATAATCTAGGTAACAGTCACAAGGCTGCACCAATGGTCGGATGTTACGAGTGCAATTGAGCGAGAATTGCACTATCAAAGCAAGAGTACAATGAGCGAAGGCATGAGCGAAGAATATATAGCGAAACTACAGTGATAACGGTAATGAACTATGGGTGGCGCGCGACGGGCCTGGAACCGAGGTTTGGGAAAATGTCGATGCGGAGGCCCGGGGCGCGGGTTACCCGCCAAGCCGTGAGGTCGGGGTGCGACGTGCAAAGGTGGTGGGAGGATTGTCAATGCGAGGGTTGCGAGTGGTAACGGTGCTGACTGTGATGCTACAGTGGTGTACGCGCTGAGCGGGGACGCGAAGTAAGGAAAATGAATTTTCCTTACACTATCCCTCCCCTAAGGAGGTCCTCCTTACGAAAGCGCGTGTACATCCTTGAAGTTTCGGCTGCGCAGATACTCTGTGAGGACGGGGTGGTTTTCGACTCTGTCCAGGGGAACCCAATTGTCTTCGGTGGGTGTACGGTCTTTCCAGCGGATCAGGAACTCGATCCTTCGGGCTCCTCCAGGGTCACAAACTCTGTGGCTCAGAATTTTCTCGGGTGTGATGATTGGTTCAGTCGGCGGTCGTGTCATGCTGGCTGGGCGATTTCGTGACAGTTGGCTTGTGGACGGGACGTAAGGGCGAAGCAGGCTGACGTGGAATGAAGGGCTGACGTACCAAACAGCGGGAAGGAGGAGGTGGGCGGTGACGGGCATAATCATGTGGCTTATGCGAAATGGCCCGCAATATCGGGGGCGGAATTTTGGGGTGATAGGCAGGCGGAGGTTCTGAGTGCCGAGTAAAACTAGGTCGTCATGTTGGTAAGTGACAAGTCGGCGGTGGCTGTCGGTGTTACATTTAGCGATGATGTTCGATTTTTTTATTGCGTCTGCTGCCCGGGTCCGTGCTGCTTGTAACATTTCGGCGAATTGTTGTGCTCGTGCCACCAGGTTGTCGGGATTCGGGGTCATGGGTACTGTCGGGTCTTGTCCGTAGTTCAGGTAAAACGGTAACTGTTGGGTCGTGGCGGATGGTGAGTTATTGTATGCGAACTCAATGATTGGCAGCTGTTGTTCCTAGGTGGTTGGGTCGTCGCACGTGGCTCGGATGAGTTGCTCCATAGTCTGGTTTGTCTGTTCTGTCTGTCCGTCGGTTTCGGGGTGGTACGAAGAATTGAACTGTAGTCGCGTGCCGAACTTGCTGCCACAGGTTCCGCCAGAAGTTGCTGGTGAAATTCGTATCGTGGTCGCTTATGAT